AAAAAAATAAAAAAAAATCATGATTTTTTTATAAAAAAAAATCAAGTGATTTAATCACATGATTTAATCATTTTGATTTAATCATTGCCAACCCTGTTATTTTGAGTTATTGTTATTCATAGTTTAGTATAAATGTACTATGAATGACAAATTGGTATATAAACTTGTTGCCTTTAGTGTGTATTAGGTTCCAATAAATTGTATGTTTTTGGTACAGAGGCATCAAGTGTTGCAATACATTGTGTACATAGCTAGCAGCTTAGCTAATTCTTATAAGGCTATAAGTAGTCTTTAACTATTTGACTATTTGTTACGTATATATTGATTACAATATACAATTTAAATGTGTTAGCTAGCTTATACAGGGTGCGGCAGAAGCGATTGAGGAGTTTTAAGGCAAAATAAAAGAGTAATGGAGGTACATAAAGAAAAAAGCTTATTTTCCTTGAGGTTAGCATAACATACCATTTAAAATACTTATGTTTTGAAAACAATATCAGGAAGATGGTGTCCGTTAGCTGCATCACACTGTTGGAGTCATTCTCGGAAGTTTCCTACAGTCCGTTCACACATATGGTGAGGTATGGCCATAACCTCTGCTACAATAATCCATTCCCTTAGCTGTGGTAAGGTGTGGGGGCAACTTCTGAACACCCTCTCTTTTGGATGCCCCCAAAGAAAGAAATAGCAATTGCTCAAATCAGGTGACCTCGCAGGCCACTGTAAATCACCCCTCAGAGACACCAGACGTCCACAAAACCTGCGTTTAAAAACATTGAGTGACATTTGGGCTGTGTGAGCGGTAGCCCCATCCTGCTGGAACCACACGTCTCCCAATGCTTCATTTTCAACAATGTTTTCCATCTTGGGCTGCAAATAATTTTGCAACATTGCATCATAGCATTCATAATTCACTGTCACAGTTGACAGTGAATTCTGACACTGTCATCAAAATATTTAACTTCAATTTTTAAATGTCAATTTGTTTAGAAACAAAAATATTGCAATTATAAAACTGTATATATAAAATAATCAAATGCAGTGAATTGAAATAAAATGTTTGAATTGTGCATATGTAGATTTCAAACAGTGTTAGCTTTTCTCATAACATTAGTCTCATTTCAAGTTGTTTGAGGTTTGTTTGGTTTTTGTTCAGTTCATGTTTAGTAGTATTGGTTTATTTGTCTGAATCAAATGGGAACAGTGCAGTCAGTCACTCAGTCACTACTAGTTGGTGTGTTTAGAGGGTAGAGTCTGGTAGATTTATAGGACATAAAACTAGTAGATCTAAGATATGTGATAGTGTTGTGCACTGTGCTATCAGCTACCTGCGTATCGGTTACTATTATGCGACTTCAATGTTTAGAAGATCTGCATTCCTGAAGTGTTTTTGTATATTGAAGCCAGTTAAATGGTCAATATTTAGCTTGTTACCTTGCTCCATACACACTTTACAAAGCTAATAAATACATTTATCAATGAATGTTTACCCAAAAGTCCCAAAGTGGTAAACAATACCTGGGCCATTATTGAAGGCAATAAGTGCCCTTTTTAGCCATCCATTTTGATCCATATACTGTTATTGTTAGTAGGCTAATTGCAACATGAAAAATAACATTTCCAAGAGGCAAAAAAGTTGAAAAAAGACAAGAAAAAAATCCCAAAAAATGAACAAAATCATTGATTTTTTATTTATTTTTAAATAAAAAAATCACCAACCATGATTTTAGGTTATTAACTGTACAAAAGATATGTTTAGAGCAGTGGTTAACAATGAACCATGTACCGTCAACCAGGGCTACGTACTCGGGACAGGGGGGGTAACTCGGGACAGTCCTCTGACACAGCGTAAAACTGTTTTAGTAGCAAAACTAATTGGAATATTGCAAAACTAAATATAGTGGTGTAAACATCAACTTGTTTCCTATCTATGTAGTATAAAGGAAGTTCAAAAATACTACATTTACTAGCTTTGAAAAATTCCTGAAAAAAATGGTGAAAAACAATATGTTGAAAATTTACTTCTGCTAAGGTCTGTAGTAAAAAAAATATTTGCCATATTAAAAAATTTTGCTTAGAAAAAAGTGGCAGACAAGTTTCAGCATAAAAATTTTATTTGTGGAATTTACATACCGGTACCTCAATCCAAAAAAATGGTTGCCATTTCCACACAGCGGGGCTACTCGGGACACCCCCCTGGGGCTATTTGGGTCACCCCCAAAAATGCATTTACAGTAGAACCCCAGTTAGCAAAGGCTCCAGTTAAGAAAAAAATTGATTAAAAACAAAGAATATTAATTACATTTACCTCGCTCAACAAAAAAAATTTCACTTATCAAAAAATTAGTGCATCATTGGTCATCACAAAATTGTGCATAGAATGTCATATATAGAATTGTGTCCCAGGCATCATAGAATGAAAAGTAATTAACCAAAACTATGATTTATTTCTCCAAAACATATGATGGTTGTCACTAAAACATTCCTTTCTGTTTCAGGTATGTTTTTCATGATCTTTTTTATAGTAAATTCACATAACCCAATTAAAATGGTGTGAAATTACAAGCCATCCTGTAAGCATACAGATACAGAAAAAATGCTATAAGGCTTCTGATATGAAGCTTGCAGTGGGCAAGGTTGTTGTAAATGCTCAATGGCATGTTCATGGATACGGTAATATTGCATCAGTAATATGATAATATTGCATCAATAATACGATAATTAATGTATATGGTAATATCATATCAATAAAGTAAAAACAAGTAAAAATCACAGAAAATGTCATTTATTCTACCTCTACATCATCTACAATAAAAGAGTACTTCAGAGTACTGTTAGTAATAGATGAGTACACTTTGCATGCTTCAAATGTTTTAAAATGAAGTTTTATTCCAAGTGTCCTGAGAAGCCCTGTTCAATGGGCTACTCAGGACACTCTTTTTTTGCTTCTGGCACCTTACAAATAGCATATGGAATTTTTTAGGAGAAGCCATGTGATAGCCCTTGCAAAGAGCTTTGAAATGAGCCTAAACTTGTTTATGAAATGTTTCATGGTAAGAAGTTATGAATGAAACACGTTCAAAATCGTCCCGAGTAGCCCCAGTTGATGGTATGTGAGTTGTATGTAAAATTTTGTTTGTTTTTGCCAACATTGAAGTAGACTAGATTACCTCATGCTGCCTGCTTGTCCATAACTTGAGTGTTGTGGCCCGACCAAATTTAATGTTCATTTTTTTTTTTCAGGTGGTTGTCCGGCACCTACCAAGCTGCCTGACCAAGGAAGAGTTCTTAGAGGTGGTGCAGCCGCTGCCTGAACATAACTGGCTTGCCTTCTACCCTGCCAACACAGACTATGGAGCACTTGGTTTCAGCCGAGCGTATATCAACTTCAAAAACCCTTTGGACATTTATAAATTCAGAGACCAGTTTGATGGCTATGTCTTTGTTGATGGCAAAGGTAACTTTATGTCATTAATATCAACAAATATTTAGATGCCTTACTTGCCTGAGATCAGTCCAGAAAGTTAGGTTAGGAATATTTTGAATGAAAAAACAAATTGTTGAAATAAAAACTATCTAATTTCAGTCTTGGCAATGAAACACCATGATCAAAAACTGGCACACAGTTTTAAATTGTAGAAGTTTTTTTTAGCAAATGTTGCTTTGCCATACTTGAACAGAAACCCTGGCTAGGATCTCTGTAGGGACCAGCATTCCTTGGTATCCTTGTTATTTGTTTCGGACGTACGTAGCAGTCCCAAGCCACGTTGGATCACTGCCTCTGATTCTTGCAATTTAGACATTGATTATAGGTAATGGTTTACTCACATTTTCCAAAATCCTTACTATGAAATACCTATACAGTACTTCTCCACAGTTGAACTGTAAAATTTAATCATGGATGCAGGACTGCGTGTTAGCTAAAAATTCTAATCACATACAGGTAATGAATCGTCAGCCATAGTGGAGTATGCACCCTTCCAGAAACTGTCATGGCGAGATGTCAGCCCCAAACGTCAGGATCCTCGCATGGGGTCCATCTTTACTGACCCTGACTACCTAAATTTCATTCACATCCTCAGCAACCCTGAGAATGTAACCCTACCTGGCACAGAAAAAATGCTCGAGGACATGGAGGTGTCTGCAGGTGTGTTTATTGATCTCCATATCAGTGCCCTCATCCAGATGGCTTAATTTTTTCCTTAATATTTCTAGGCCATCTAACTTGAGAGCCATGTCTTTTATATTTTGTGTCTCCAAGATTGTAAACAATTCACAACAAAATATTCTTATATCAGCTCAGATCTTTACGATTATATGATCTTGTATCAGCTCAGATCTTTACTATTAAAAGAAATCATTATTCATTAACTGTAAAATGCATTCAGAACAAATTTGCAAATACTTCGCTCATACTTTGGAATTACCCAAACTCTACAACATTTCAGATATACTTTCCATGAACTGCATTTTTCAAGACATGGTGACAGCCAAAATATTGTCACTTCCCTTAATGTCTTTATAATTCCTGATTAAAGCTGGAATCTTCCTAAGCAGCTGTTTTTCACTATAGTATAGTATTTATAATACTAATAACTTCAATTTTTACTGTTCTGTTGATATTACTATTCCTCTTCATCCTGTGATTCATCATCCTTTAGCTAAAATAGTCCTCACAATTTCCTCCAATGCCAAGGAAATTTTAACATTTCAGGCACGGACGAAAGCGCCACGACGCCGTTGGTGCTTTACATCGCAGAGCGCAGATCAGAGTTCCTGCAGCAGCTGCCGCATCGCCCCCAGTACGAGCACCTGAGCAGCCGGCAGCTCGAGCGTCTCGTCAGGAAGGAGGCGGCCAAATACAAGCGCTTGGAGAGGAAGAAGCTCAAGCATGAAGAGCGATATGCTAGGAAGGCCGCCAAGAGGGCAGCCATTGACGAACAGATGGAGAACTCCGAGGATTATGGCCAGGTTTGTTATAAAACTTGTATGAATAATTATTGAAGAAAAGCGGCCTTGAAACGGCCATTGACGAACAGCTGGAGGACTCCGAGGACTATAGTCAGGTTTGGCCTGTAAGTCTATAGGCTTGTATTCTGCCTGAGGAAACAGACAACATCTTAACATTTGCATCACTGAGCATCATCGTGAGATGTTCATACTGAAATGAAGATCATAATGAGATGAACATCATAATGAGATGAACATCATAATGAGATGAACATCATAATGAGATGAACATCATCATGAGAGGAACATCCTAATGAGGCTTGCTTGTTTTTTATGGCTGATAACTAACAACAGGGTTTGTACCAGTCATGGAAAATCTGGAAAATCATGAAATTCGAATTTTCATTTTCCAGGCCTGAAAAGTCATTGGATTTCATTTCAGGTTATGGAAAGTCATGGAATTTGCAAATAAATAAGAAAAAAGGAAGTGTATTTCTGTGCTGCATGTGTTAAACTGTTTGTGCAGTTTCTTGTTTCCTGCGTTCTGATAACTTTTTGATCTGCAGTGGCAGCATTCCATCTTCGGCGTGAAATTTCTACATCACCTACATCTATTTTGATTATGATCAGCCATGAAGCTTGAAAATATTCTGTCCTTTTATACTATTGTTATATAAGAATCATGGAACCCTTATTGCTGTTAATCTGAGCTTTTTTGGAATTGGTATGACCATTGAAGTGGCTTTTCAGAACTCATAGGAACAACGATAGATTGCTCCTAATAGACGAACTCTTGAAAAATTGCTTGTAGTGAACACTTCATGCATGTGCATGGAGTACATAAATATAACATAATAATCTATACATATGCTACAACATAAATATAGCCTAATAATCTATACATATGCTACAACATAAATATAACATAATAATCTATAAATATGCTACAACATTTATGTAATTCCTCAGACGCCCGTCAAGGACGTGGGTAAAGCAGAGCGCTGGTCCGCCCCCATACGTGCCAAGAAGGAGAAGCGCACGCCCCACAAGCCTTCTGCTGGAGAGACCCAGTGGTCCAGGTCTGCTGGTCGTAGTTGCTGTCAGGTTCTTTGTGCTCTTGTTCAGACAAATTCTCGTCACACTTCTGAAGCTTATTGCACTGTAAACGATAGATTTCTTGATGCTGCCAGACTATAATGAACGCTTTCTGACTTTCAATTGTATGTTGAGTAAAGGTGATTGATGAATGCACATGAACATTCAATAGGAGAATGTATTAATAAATCTTTCTAAATATATATAGGTTTTTATTTATTTCGTTACTATATTTTACTTGAAAACATAACTATGTTTATAACTTAAGCATTATATACAATCGTGTGACAGCTAATAATTAATTCCATGAGAATATGTCAGAGTTTTTAACCATATGATCCATCAAAGCCATAATTCAGTTGTTCAGTGTATCCTAAACAGTGTCTGTTTAACCTTCTACTTCCCACACACTACCTTTCGTCCAGGTTTCCCTGCTGTAACACATTATCATAAACTATTTACACAACATTTACAGGTGTTGTTCTTGCAGGAAATCCGAGGCTGAGAGCCGCCCTAAAGAAAAAAGGACCATTATCGTGGAGCGCTCTAAGATCAGCGTCCTCAAGAGGAAGACCGAAACTCCTAGAGAAAACCTCAAACTTCCTAAAGAGGACAATGAACTTCTTAGAGAAGATCCTGAACCTCCTATAGAAGACCCTGAAGTTTCTAGTGAATATCTCGAAGTTTCTAAAGAAGACCCTGAAGTTTATAGAGAAGATCTTGAAACTCGTGACAGAACTCATGAACTAAAAGAAGACAAAGTCCAAAAAGAAGTGCAAGTCCAAGAACAATTTGAGGTCCATAATAATCAGTTCTGTGCTGAAGATGAAGAGAGAGGAAGGAATATTGAAACAGGCAACTCAAGTGTCGACCTACAATATCATGCTTCTTCTGCAGACCTTCAGTCGTCTGGTCAGCAATCATCGAGAGATTCTTACAGTGAAAAGGAAGACGAGAAATCGCCAGGCTCTCCAAGTAAATTCAGTGGAACTGAGATTTTTCCCAAAAGTGAATCTTGTTCAGATCCTACCGTTAAACACTCTGATCAGTCTACTGATATCACATATAAAGATAATCTACAGAGATCAGAGAACGGCGGAGAAAATACAGACAACGAAGTAATAGAAACATTAAAACACATAGAAACATTAAAACACACAAAAGAACCAGCAGCGCTCCATGAAAACAATCAGACAATGGACCGCAATGACAACACTGCTAACAAAAACCTCAGCCAAGATAGCAAAAAAGAACGTAAAGTTGACAGCGAAAAGGAAGCTTCCGCCGGAACGCTAGACAGCGGCGAGGACTCCAAGGCTCAAGCAGACGCTCGGGCGGCGCGCAAAATACGCAACAAGGTCGGTGGTGCGCCTTTGAAATTGACCCAAACTGGGGGCAGAAAACATAGAAAATTCTCGGAGGTAGTTGAGTAATAAAGAGTTTTAATATTTAATTAAGCTCCCTTCAGAATATTAACCACAAAAAAGAGGTAACATGCCTATTTTGGCTTTCATGGATAGTTCACGTTGAGCTTAACTTTGAACAACACTAATTTAATTACATGAAAATTTTAACTTTATGCCATCATAAGTTCTGCCCATAAGTGATGAAAGCAGATTTTTCATGGATAGGGACCTGAATTTGTTGCTTATTGTCATTTGAAGAAGTTGCCGCGCGTCTCGACGTTCCAACATGATTTTGAATTTTCGGTCAAGCGACGTCTACATTGGAGAAAGCTGCTTGCTCTGGAGGAATTACTACCTCCCTTTGTTTTACATTTTGTATATTATTCTTTTTATCAGCATTTAGTTGTGAACAATTACGAAATTACTAGACAAGTCTAAATTACAATGATTTAGTAACAATACGATTATGAAAGCGATGATTTCAGTTTACAACTTCAGTTTTTTTTAGTTCCTATGCTCCTTTCCAAATTATATTTATAATAGTATACAATGTTGAATTTATCGTTATGTATTATGATAATAATTTTAGATTTTAATTATCTGATAAGAAATCATTTTAGTTCATTTTTTCTTGCTCACAAATTTCTTCTCCGCAGGACCGTCCTGCAATGCAGTTGTATCGCCCCGGCCAGTGCCGCTTGTCATCCACTCGTCCCAAAGGCAGCGACCCGGGAGGAACAACGAGGGACGTCGCCCCCACCTCCTCCCACTCGTCCACCCCCAGCCCCGTGATGGGGAGCGAGGCTGCCACGTCAGTCCCAAGAGGCGCCACCGAACGCGTAGCTCCGCCGTTGCAAGATGGGGACGACTTCTCTTCCTCAGGCGCCGTGCCTCCCACTGAGAAAGTCGTTGTCTCTGAAAGAGTCTATGATCGAAAGGTTATTCCTGGCAGAGACATGGACTATGGCAAAGATTCCGCGTATAAGAAAAGACCGCCCATGAAGACCCTTGAGTTCAGCAGCAACAGACGCGGGCCTAAGCCTGACCGAGGGCGTGGATCAGACCGGCCTGGGAGACATCGTTACGCGGCGGATGCTGTGGATAAAAGCGGCAAGTACACCTTGGCTGCCCACACTCCTGATGAAGGACGGCCCACTCCCACCTCTGAAGCGACGGCCGCTACCAAGACCCAGGGCAAGCGTTACAGCAGGATGAGGCCTTCTGATAAATAGTGGACAGTTTAATTCGGTATTGAGTATGAGCAGCAGGACTGGCATTCACTCGATGTAATCTTGCCTAAATTCGGAAACGACAATAAAAATCTGTGCTTTTCAGTTATTTGGAAATGACGTTTTCTTTTCTTTGACTCAAGAGACTCAAATAAAAAGTAATTTTATTGTCTGTTCTGAATGAGATAAACTGGCTTAGTAAAGGATCGTTGAGGGAAGATGTGATTGCATAGGATTGAAATCGTCTTCTAAGCACTTGTCCTTGAGCGTTATTTGATGCACACGTCATCAGCAGTCGTTGGCAATATTCATTTTAGCGCCAAATCGGACATGATTAGCCTCGCTTGGTGCCACCATGGTCACTAGTGCTTTATGACTCAACTAAGGCGCTAAGGAGCAACTTGTTTTGTTATCCAAAGATCTTCATACTTGGGTTTATATAACTGAATTGTGGTCTCACTCTCACTTTTATTATTTTAACACAAATGAACCTAATCTCTCTTGTATGTGAACCATTCGGATAACGATGATCATGGCTGAACTAGTATATAATGTTCAACCATGACGATGGTGTCCCAGCTCCACAATATCAAGTGTGTGTAATTATTTATTATCCCTAAATATACGATTAATTTTTATTCGCGCTGTGTCAATTAAATTTTGAAACCTATAGTCAACGGTAGCTAATTCGAGGTCTTGAAGCAAGTGATCCTGAAAATTACCTGCATATCTTGGTAACATGTTTTGGTTCTCCAAGAGTTGGACTTTCTTGGAATATGTACGAGTTTCGAACTTACGACTGGCGTTAGTGGCGTACACAGACAGAGGTTTAGATCACTGAAGGAGACGGACGGATTCGGGTTCGAGCTGCGGACGACGACGGACGTTGGTGAGCACTGAGCTGGATTAGCATTATCTGTCAGACACTCAGACTGCTATTCTGGGTCGGCTGTCGAGTGTCGACTATACCTAGATACGGTCAGCACCGGTAAGTCGGTAACTATCGCTTCATTTTTTCAATAGAATTTGACTTACAATAATTGAATCAGTTGTTTTCGCCATGGGACGAAAATCCGGCAAACGCCGGAAAAAGGAAGGCAATCTCTCTTGGTCTTCTTACTCTTCGGTCAATGAAAGCATCGCCTCGGGGCTCGGAGCCCATACCATGAATAACCTCAGGGCCAGGCTCCCGGACAACAGGTAACAAAGCATTCTGTGCTTAATCGTGAAGTTGAATTGATGGTAAACCTATATTGTCATTAGATACTGGTACTAGTACCAAAATACCAAAACCATCAAGGGTAATCACCCTGGAGGCTGGTTTGGGCAATGAATTCCCTCCCTTGCCCCCCGGCCCCCAAGCCCCCATGGGTCATAGTCCCTGGTTCAGCTGACAGTGTGGGCCAGTCTTCAGAAGTACCTTTTCATGAGGATTCAAGCTTCATTGCTGTCAAAAGATGCAAAAAAGCAAAGGCAAGAGCCAAGAGCAAACTTTGAGGGTTTCTATTTAGGTGCGGACTCAGCATCTCAGCCTGCAGAGTGAGACAGTGAGTGACTGCAGATATGGAGCTCCTGATGGATGTGGGAGGCCCAGGTGGCTGAGGTCTGACTCACCGTCTGAGACTGAGAGACTGACTAGCTATAAATAAAAAGGTGTATCAAAAGTGGACAAACTGTTTCAATTGTATAGTACCTCAGGTTTGCTATAGAATTATTTAGATGTCTCTTGTTTGATGGATATTTTTTATTTTATTTAATGGATTTTTAAAAAATTTCCAGGCCTTTTGTTTGTAATGATCAAGTTTAAGTTAAGTACATATTTAGTTAACCAGTACTGTAGTACATAAAAGATATTTGGGGGCGGGGCTTATGGCACAACCAATCACAGCTTGAAAGCATCCCCATCAACCAATCACAGCTTGAAAGCATCCCCATCAAGTCAACCAATCACAGCTTGAAAGCATCCCCATCAACCAATCACAGCTAGAAAGCAGATAACATTACAATTCCATTAACCAATCACAGCTGGAAAGCTGAAAAAGGCTAAATCACAATCCCATCAACCAAACACAGCTGGAATTCTGGAAAGAGATAAAGATATGTAAATAATTAACTTAAAGTGTAAAGTTCCTGGCCTTTCCAAGCTTTCAGAACCTGCTTTCCAATATGCTATGTGTACTGTTTAATTTAATATCCCTCTAGAATTCCACACTGGTGGGAGGAGTTTCAGGCTCAGACACCGCTAATTGTGCAGCTCAGAGGACAAATGAAATTTCAGGAACCGTTAGACCAACTATGCAATACCAGCAGCACAGCAAATCGACAGCATCAGTCTGGAATCTGGAGCTTGAGGTAGTGATTAGTGGGTGTCACTGGCACTGGGTGATGTTCTCAACTTCTCTGACTCAAAAGTCATGACTCACAAGGCTGGCAAGAGATTAGACTCCTAGTGATTACTGATTAGCGGCAACAATGCTTAATTGCTAATAGTTGATCAATGGCTAAAACAGGGACCGGTAGTCGGGGAGTGTTCTGTTAAGTGTTAACTAACTTAAGTTCTAACTGTAAGGTGATGATTTTGATACCATTTGTCCATCATCCATGGATGTTTCCTCATTGGTATTTGGTGTCTTCCTTGTTGAAAGATGACCTCTGTTGTGATATGTTCATAAACATTTTCTTGTGAAGTTGTGTTAGCCTTCCCTGTTTATCAAGTCATGCCCTTGGCCAGTTGGTCCTTGGGTGATGTCAAATGGCAGGCTATATGAGCTCTGCAGCTTCTGCCTTGACCGGAAACCTTGGTCTTGGCGCATAGTGGCAAAGCAGAGAGTTTTTTAGACACTCCATTGAGTTCATTTTTGAGTCCTAGCTTAGTAGCTATAAGTAGGCTAGTAAAGTAGCTATTATGGATACCAGCATTATTATACTTAAGATATTGTTTTAAATCTTAAGTAAAAGAGAAAATTAAAAATGAACTGATTCTAAACAATCTCTGGTTTCAGTGGTTTGTCACTATGCTTGGTCAGCTTGGATACATATCCATATTTCAACTGGACACCAAAGATATCAGTGTTGAAACACCAACCAATAACCCTATTTAATCCTAAACTGTAAACTGAACTTTAAATCCTAAATAATATTATATACTTTTTTATGCTGTTCCTCAATATCCTTGCGCTACAACCGGGCCAATCCTCAGGTCTTAATTATGATTCAAGATCTCATTGCCCACTACCATAAAACAGGGTACGTAATAAGGGACGGGCAGGGTAATCAGGGACAGCCTCCGACATTTCATAGAAATGTTGAAGCAGCTAAACTAATTGAAATATTTCCAAACATAAAATAGTGTCATATTATTCAACATTTTTCCTATCTATGTAGCATAAAGCAATTTAGAAAATCGTACATTTACTATCTAAAAAATCCTTGAAAAGAAGTGTGAGAAGTGAGATTTAGGGAAAGTACCTCTGCTAAGGTCTGTAGCAAAAAAAAAATATTCACCATATTAAAAAATTTTACTGACATAGAAGTTGCACACAGGTGTTGGTGTATTAGCGTATCTCATCTCAGAAAAAAATGGTGGCCATTTACGCATTACGGGGTAATAAGGGACACTCTACTGGGGTAGTAAGGGACACCCCTGGGCCCTAAAAATGCATTTGCAGTAGAGCCTTGGTTAGCAAAGGCTCCAGTTAACAAAAAATCAATTAACAACTAGAAATTTTGATTAGATTTACCTTGCTCAGCAAAAAAAATTTCACTTGACAAAAAATTAGTGCATTATCAGTCATCACCAAACTGTGCATAGATTGTCATACATATAATAATTGTTTACAGGGCAACATAGAATGGAAAGTAATTAACTTAATCTACGATTTTTTTCCTCAAAAAATATGATAGTTGTCACTAAAATAATCCTTTGTGTTTCAGGTATATTTTATAATCTTTTTTTTTTTTTTTTTTTTTNAGACGACATACGGCCGGAAAAACACCCTCAACTCGGCAGGCTGAACTGGGCACCCGAACAGCGTGCCTGTAGATGATTAGGCGCGTCTTAACTAAGCGCTACAGCTCTTCATTATTTCCTAGAGCATTTAATAATTTTCGGGTTATTCATTGGTGATCCATAAGGTTTTTGTGCTAGGATTTAATTGCGCACGCAATACATAGATCCTGGATAGACTGCCCTGTAAATTTCGTTCGTAAGAACAGCCTACTTTAGCCAAGACTTATGAAGGTTCGGACAATAGCTGGTACGGGTGTAGTGTCTGCTACTTCAATTAAACTTTTCTTCTGTTTCGGTGTTTTATACAACTTAAGTGTTGTTTTGCATTTATGATTAATTTTGAACATGGTAAAAATCACCGATTTTCAATTTTATACCTCGAATAACAGTAGATATATCAAGTGACATTTATTCGTGTATCTATCAATAGCCTCAATAGGGCATGAATTATTCCTGTCTCTTATACACATCTGGATACGGTAATATTGCATCAATAATACAGTAATATCGCATCAATAATACGGTAATATCGCATCAATAATACGGTAATATCGCATCAATAATACTGTAATTAATGTAGATGGTAATATCATATCAATAAAGGAAAAACAAGTAAAAATCACAGAAAATGTCATATATTCTACCTCTACATCATCTACAATGAAAGAGGAGGACTTCAGAGTACTGTTAGTAATGGATGAGTACACTCTGCAATTTTGTCTGCATGCTTCAAATGTTTTAAAATGAAGTTTTATTCCAAGTGTCCCAAGTAGCCCCGTTTGTCGGGGCTACCGTACTCGGGACACTCTTTTTTTTTCGCTTCTGGCTCCTTACGAATAGCATTTGGAATTTTTTTGGAGAAGCCATGTGATAGCCCTTGCAAAGAGCTTTGAAATGAGCCTAAACTTGTTTATGAAATGTTTCATGGTAAGAAGTGAGTACTGAAGAAGTGAGCAGTGAGTACTGAGTTATATTTTTTCAATATACTGTTATAGATGAGAAATATATTTATCTGTTATCCTGCTTGATAGCTTATTGTGTACTTATGTTTTGAAGTTTGTATTGATGTTTGTGTTTAATAATAGTTGTCATGTGTTGATAGTGCAAATATTTTACAGAAGCATCTTCAGGTGCAGCTTTTGACAACCCATGCCCTGGTTGCCCTGTTGTCTGGTTGTCTGGTTACACAATTATATGGTTTCCCAGTTATACGGTTATCCAGTTTGTGGTTAGGAGTTGCCTGTTAGTTGGGTTCCAGTTATCCAGTTATTTGGTTAGATTTTTGATTTGGAGCTCTCTCTCTTAGGTTTAAATTTCAAGTCCCTTTATAATTAAGTCTTGTATCAGAATAAAATAAAGTTGAACAAAAGAGAAAAACACCTGGTGGACAGGGATGGCTATAAAGGAAGTTGGGAGGCCATCTTTCATTAAACCCCTAATATTTTTAATAACTTTGAATACCTTCCCTCATTTATTCGATAAAGATGACCCATCACACTGGGGTGGAAAAGGTTTATGAAATAATTTGAAAATTTAACTCAGTACTCACTGCAGTGAGTGACAGAGCGCATTTTCTCGTCAACAAAAACTTGAAGTCACGGACAGACAGACAGACAGACGGACATGGCGAGCAAAATTGGGATTTTTTGGGCACAAAGGAGGGCAGTGCGAGCTAAGAAATGTCATATCAAAACACGGTCTGATCAGCTATGGTAAATGGTTTAAGTTTTTCCTTATACAATGCAGGTTCATCATCCTGAAGTTTTTGCAGGGCTATGGAATTTAAATCACATGGATCCATGGTTACAGCATTAACAGGTCTAGAAAGACAATTGGCAACAACATTTTGACTAGTACCTTATATAACATATATAATATCTGCAATGAATTTGGTTATCAATGACATGTAACATTGCTGTTTATCTATCCTTAATGGGGTTTGCTTATGAAATGCAGGAGACAAAAGTTTATCATCTGATTCATCTTTCTTCAATTTGAGCTTTGAAATGAATGACACCTATGACAGGATTGACAGCGAAATAACAAGCAAGTAACTATTGGTCAAAAGTTGAAAACTTACCTTGTGCCTCTGATAATTTCTTTGAAAAGAAACTAATTGGTACAGGCTCTGAGTTAACCACCTAGTACAGTGCAGCTCCAGATGGTTGTCAGTTACAAGTTAATAATGGGTCCATTTCCCATGCCACACTAGCCAGTGGGGTGCACCTTATGCTATCAGAATCAATTTCTAGCCTTTTCATTTAGGAATAAATATTAATAGACTAAAATTTGTAATTTATTCTAAGATCATCTTCCTGATGGTATATATCTGCTTATAAATTTTAATTTCCCTCTCTTTTTCCAGGAACAACATTATTGAAACTGGTTGGCTGTTGCTTCTCAATTTTAATTAAAAATTATTAATCACATTTATTTTTAAATTGTTTTGTATGCTTTCTGATACATTGTTGTGTCAAGAGAACATTTGAAAATGAACAATCTTCCCCTTGGTCCTCAGCAGGTGTGTACTGAATTACTAAAATATTATGAATTCTATCCCAGTTGTATTTCTTGTTCTTATTTAATTGTTATGTTCTTATCTCATTATGAAAATATGCTCTGCTTCTTTGATACACTCAACCATGCTTCAAATGATTTTTTAGAGCCCTTAATATTGGGGTTAGAACAATGTGAAAATCTAGGCGGTTGTGATTAGATTATTTCAATAATGACATCCTAAGGTATCTCCTGGTAATGTATTTCAAATATGCATGACTGAAGCTATTACGTTATTGAATGTGAATGATTTTCTTGAAAGTGGTTTGAAGGAGTCACAATTCAGCGAAGATAGATGTCGGAAACACACTAACGCTAGTATGAAAATATTGCTGAAATCTTGTGGATTGACAGTAGTCTTAATAAGTGGGTTGAGAGCAACAAAGTTGGTTGTCTGATTTGCATCACCTCAACTAGATTAGCAACCTAATGCTCTCAGTCTTGTGAAGCAAAGTAGTTAACAGCTGGTGTTCTTTGGATCTCGAGCCACTGGTAAACATTTTCACTAGACTATGCAATGAACTTCTTTTGACCACAGCACTACTGGAGAGAGCTCTGTCAATGTTTGAAAACTTAGCATCACTAATTCAAATAGTACCTAATGAACTTAAATGAAGTAAACATCAAATAAGATATAAAGCTATCACAGTAACACATTGACTCATTTTTGTAGCTGTTGCTATCTCTAGTTGCCTTCTTTGATAATAGCAGGCTAAATTGGACATCAAAAGCTTGTAAAAAATATACCTTACTTGGTACTCACTGCAGTGAGTTACAGAGAGTGCATTTTCTCATTGACAAAAACGTGAAGTCACTAATGGACAGACAGACAGATGGATGGATGGAGGGACATGGCAAGCACAATAGTGCCTTTTTTTCCATAAATGAGAAAATGCCCTGAAGATTAATGAAAACCTGGCAATAACAATACATAAGCAATTTTGGCAAATCTATACATGACCTTCTTTGGAAAGTAAAGGTTTCATTTGCTAGGGATCGCACCTCACCAGTCTAACTCGCCACACGAGGTGCACATGACACTTCAAAGGGAAACTTGAAAAGACTTGACATGAACTTGAAACAACTGGACCATACTGTTTGAAATGAATATTATTGTAGAATGGCTCTCTTTAACATTATAAATGTAAAAGGTAGCCATCAAATATTTTTTGATTGCACATTGTTTGGTCTGCTGGGATCATCATGCTTTGTGACAGAACATCATGCAACATTTGTAAAGAAACTCAATCTTATTGAGCTCAATCTCTGTTGTCCACAACTATCAATTTCTTGTAACATCTGCTGGAAGAATTTGTGCTTGGTCTTATAGGGTTTTCTTGAAACATGGCTGTGGCTTTAAATTTACTTGAAACTTTTTAATGCATTATGAATTTTTCAGAATAAAGGCAGTTGTTTTAAGAAGCGAGTTCATTGAAATTTTTGCTTCAGGCAAAATGCTAAAAAAATCTGTTTATCATTTTTTCTGCAGTTACTTATTCCAAGAAGATTGTTTTGTATTCTTTAGGCTTTTACATTTCTTTACTATTTTCTCTTGATCAGTGCAGGAAATACAGACTGCTTCATATTTTTTAGTACAAATTTTTTATCAAGTTTCTCATGAAGCTATATGTTTGTTAAAAAGAATAATACAGTTCCAAAGATATAATTAATTGAAGATTTGTTTAATGCTTCTCTTGAATATGTTCATCATTTTTTAGTAATTGAATTGTGTGTGCAGACCAGCAGCATTCAGTCTACAACAAACAGTCGCTTTTTACCTGGTGGAGGTGGCATGGATATTGTTGGAGCTGCTGGAGTTCCTTCTGCCTCTATTTCCCCAGAGGAAAAAGAGCGTCTTTATGCATACATTCTGCAATTGAACCAACCTGAAACTAGAGAGGAGGCGCTCCAGGAATTGAGGTAGCTACGTATTCAATACTTGTGAGATAATTTAGCATTTTCATTTTAATGCCAAAAATAGTATATTCTAGCTACGTGACAGAAATTTTATGAGTTTTGTCACAAACTTAAACACAGTAAAATCTATTCCAGAGATTTAGTAATACCTGAGATCATCTTCTGCAAAGCTTTTCAGATAATTATGTTCTTTACTCTCTTAATTATAAAGAAATACAGGAAATAATTTAAGTGGCATTTTTAGTGCAGTAGCTCTCTGAAGCAATTATTATATGGAGAAGAGTGTCTAAGGCTTTATTTTGAGTACCTAATTTTCTATGTACATATTTGTTTACTATGGTTAATCCTGCTGCCAGCAAAAAACGGGAATCCATGGCAGATTTGGCTCCTCTTCTCTGGCACTCCTTCGGGACAGTAGCTGCTCTCCTTCAGGAGATCATCAATATTTATCCCTCAATTTGCCCTCCTGCACTTACTGCTGGCCAGAGCAACAGAGTATGCAACGCATTGGCATTACTTCAAGTGAGAGTTACTTTGAATAATAAATAATATCCTGGACTGCTCAAAGACTGAAGGCATAACCCCATACGGTATTTAATATTTGCTGGTGTTTATCATACATATCTGCACAGCATTTGGAAGGTGGAGAATGTTATAATCATAGTTAATATAGTCCTTCTAGATCGGTGGATGGCTTACAATTTTACCCATTTACCCCTCATAGAATGTTTACATATACATCCACCCATTGAACACACACACAAATAAGGGGAAAAATATTCCATTAATGATTTTTTTTTCTGAAACAAATGTAACAAGGTAAATGAATCTGTTTGCTCTTATCATGTGCTAAATTCTTTTTTTTTACACAAAATATGTTTATCAAATGGTATTTTGAGGTTAAAAATATCTTAGTAATATCTGACCATACGAAAAAAAAATTTGTGTGGTCAGCTCTAAAAATGTATAAATTTTATTTGGCATTAGTAGCACACTTGAGTTCATTTAAGTTCTGAGTTAATTTGTATGAATAATTTTGGTGGTTGCAGTGCGTGGCTAGTCACCCCGAGACCCGGTCTCACTTCCTGGCTGCTTGCATTCCTCTCTATCTTTATCCCTTCCTGTCAACCTCCTGCAAAACCCGGCCCTTCGAATACCTCCGTCTCACTGCGCTGGGCGTCATAGGAGCTTTGGTTAAGGTAAGCCTTCATAATGCTGCTCACTGCTCAGTATTAGTTATTCATATCTAACTTCCTGTGCATTAATGCAACACTACTAAAGGTATTGCACTCCGTCTAATTAATAGCTCAGTATTTAAATGAAATCTACATTAGCTCTATTTTATTGAGTGCTTGGGACTTTTAATACCATGTTATATATCTCAATTTTTAATGAAACATTTGTTAAGGTATGGCTCAAAGGATAATATGTATATATATACGTTTATTGAACAAAGGAGAATATATTGATTTGTTGAAGTTCATCATTCTATTTCTTTGTTTATGGTCGAAGAGGACAGTTCTTTGCATTGTGGATTTAGTTTGTTTTGTTAAAACCTGCAGAAGAATTGAAATTCTTGCTAGTTAGCTTGGTCTAAATCATGGGAGAAAATGCATTGAGAAAATGCAGTAAATTGATGGTGGTTATTATATTTCTCATGGTTACTCGTGTTTCTATTCCTTAACTCATGGGTATTTTATTCCTTATAATCTTAACTATTCAGGCTTCATCGTTCAACATTTGGCAAGTGATTAACATTTTATTAACTTGTATAGATTTAAGGTTACAGGTAATAACTCTAGACTTCTTGATATATTATTCAGACTGATGAAAAAGAAGTGATCAACTTCCTCCTGGCGACCGAGATCATCCCCCTGTGCCTGCGCATCATGGAGTCAGGCTCTGAACTAAGCAAGACTGTCGCCACTTTTATCCTCCAGAAAATTCTTTTGGACGAGACGGGGTCTGGATTGCATCACATTTGTCAGGTTAGCGGCTTTTGCGATGCAACAATACTATGCAAATTGAAACATCTCGAGTGATAGCTTTATTTTCATGTAAAAAATTATCACAATAACTCATGAAACATTTATTTTCATATAACATGCTGAACTATTGGGAAGGAAAGTGTGCTGGTAGACGGCGGGTGTGGTTCAACACACCCTAATGACATAATGCTTTAGACCTAGCATGTTGTCTAGTTTAGTGCCCCTATACTCAAGAAATTGTTCATATGCTGGGATTGATAAATGATTTGATGGCAGACTTACGAGAGGTTTTCCCACGTGGCCATGATCCTGGGCAAGATGGTGATTGCTTTGGCGAAAGAACAGAGCGCCAGACTGCTCAAGCACGTCGTCAGGTGCTACCTCAGACTCTCTGATAATGTCCGGTAAGAAAATAACTTGGCTTAGTTGGCTACTCGTGAGTTTCACAGATTTATTCTCAGGTTTTATTTCGATTGTTAACTGTTCTTTCCAGTTTTAATTTTATGTCATCGTCTGATTTATTCTAATTTTGGTGATGATCGAATCGCGGTTCTTTTTCTGTTATTCCGCATTGGAGCAATAAGTGAAATTGTGGTGACTAGATCTCTGTCTCGGCACTTTGCTGTGTTGTGGCGTATCGTTATTGACACTAACTATTTCCGCACAAATTAAATAATTCATAAACTGTTAACTTAAGGAGCCTACAGAGTGATATCTGCTTAACGCGTGTAATAATTTCACGTTCAAGTAAGTGTTTTACCTAGTAAATAACATTGATAACAAACCTCTAATCCTGGCAGAGCAAAAGAAGCTCTGCGCCAGTGTTTGCCCGACCAACTCAAGGACAACACGTTCAGCAACTGCCTGAAGGACGACAAGAGCACGAAGGCGTGGCTGCAGCAGCTCCTCACTAACCTGGACACCGCGTCCACCCCAACAACTCCCATGGGCGGCATCGCGTCAAGACCTGAACTGCCCGCAAGCTCCGCCGGCGCCCTGCCGTCCCTCGCCACGTGAGCCTTACGTGCATCTCCTTCATTTTACGAGTCGCGAGTCATGAGCTCACTGAATTGTTCTGCCGTATTTCCCGTATTGTATTGTTCTGCCGTATTGCCCGTATTGTATTGTTCTGCCGTATTGCCCGTAAAATTAATCGCGTAAAATATTATGGCTTCATTTGGAAATAGGTAAGAATTGCTGCATTCCTTGCTAGGCCAACTTGAGATATTTTCATGTATAAACAAAAAACGTTTATTCCATCTTCACTTTATTGGTGAATCTCGAGAAAAACGATAGACGCAATGATCGTCTCTTCTGGGCCTAAGACGGTTGCTTAAGAATTTGCTTCTCATTGATTTTGGTATTGCAAACTATTGATCTTTGAGATGAGCTGGAAAGAAAAAATACTTGCTACCATTGTTAACACTTTCAAACGTGCAGCAAATGAGGAAAATTTACTCGTAAAATTTCATCGTCTCACAGCGGTCAATATTTACTGTTCGTTTGTCGTTTGAGCTTTTGGCCCATGACGTTAGAGATGCTAGGCTGGGGAACTAGTGAAGAGAACCGCATCTGCACATAAATTGGGCACATGAATTTGTCGACGCTCTCGCCTTTTCGCTGAATTCTGTTTTTGAGACATTAAATTGTATTGTTCAAACTTGCTATTTTTGGGTGATAAAAATCTTACATAGTGTTTATTTTCCGTGTGATTTGTTATTGATATTAAAGTCGAGTCAATTGCGGTGTTAACTTCTCAGTCCACGGCACTTGACGAGCGGAGAGCCCAAGGAGGTTGAGATGCCACTAATGATGCTTCCTTCTTATCCTTTCTTGCTAGGGCTCCGGATATTTTTGATGCACTGGAATATAAATAGTGGAATTTATCATTGTCATAATTTATTACATAAAACAGAAAATGATGGAAGTTGAACGGTACGTTTGGGGTTCGTGGGCTACCCAACTATGATTGATTCAACCCCCAAGGTATTAATGAGATGCAATTTTGCTGCCTAACAGATATCTATTGCATAGATTTTCTTTCCCGAATAACGATTTCGAAAAACGGATAAGTTATTTCGTATAAAACTGCTGTCAGATGCTCTACAGCTTATTTGTTTCCGGACGTCGGAGTTTTTACTTAAATTTATTGCCTCGCAGTCGCAGCTAATTCATTGTTAGGCATTCATACTTGTTTCTTGTCGTTTTGAGGGTTCGCTGAACGTGTTCTGCTATCTAGGCTTCCAATTTGAATTTCATGCATATGACATATGGACAAGTTCCGGTCAGGTTTCGGGAATGACTGCAACATGATCAGTATCGAAAGTGCTTGTTAGAAGCGACTTGTGTTGCTTGTTTCGTATACCATCTTATCACTTTGTCTAAATGTCTTATCACTTTGTCTAAATTGCCATTGGAGAATTAGAATGGAGGCAATATTCAATGTGCAGGAGATTGCGCTACGGCAATTACTAAGTCTAGGACACCATCTCATGTCATGTTGTAGCACTCAGAGCTTGTGCGACGCTCGCGCTCAGAAATAGAAGGTATACTGTACTTTTACGGATAGTGAAAATTATCCTTTTCGTTGATGTTCGCTTAGAGAGAGATTCAATACAGCTTTGGCAGCTGTATTAAATGCAGTTTAGAGGCGACAAACGGTTGTTCGTTACTACTTCTAGCGACATGTAGCTCTAGTTTACGTGAAAGTTTTCCGCCGATTTAGCACATTTATAGTTGCTACTAAGATTTTAAAACTCTTGATGGTATCGGCAGCTGAGAATTAAGCAAAAATGAGGACACTCGCCCGGTTTGGCATTCTGTTTGTTGAATAAAAAGTATAGTTACTTTTGTAAACTTCCTATTTTGTTCGACTGCCTGTTTCATGACTCCGGAACAATTATTCATCAACTTCAAATTGAATTCTTACGTCCTAACTAATGTACTTCAGCTCGTGAATTTAATCGCCACTATCCCCGGTTCTCAAGAGGTTCGTTATTTCATCTGTTAGAGCATTAATTTGTCTACAAATTATCCTACCGTTTACCAATCCGAATTTATTATTGAGCACCACTCAATTTATGCCAGCCAAAGAGCTGAATAATAAAATCTTTTCGAAGTTTTTCTGTTCATGGTTTTCCATGCATTTCTCCCGTGCTTACTACCCTTTATTTCTATATTACTTAACCTGATCCTCCCTAACCGTACCTGTGCTGCCTCACTTCTTCAGATCCCTGCACGATCCTCTCCAAACAACCCTGAGACGAGCTATGGCCTCGTTTATTCTGTTGATAATTATCCGTTATCTTATTTAATATTGTTTCACGATATTTTTTTCATTCCCAGGTACCTACAGTCGATGTAACCTGACGAGTTTGTGTGCACGTTTTATTCCATTGCCTTGTGCACTTCACATAATCTCATTTTAGTCTTGTGCCTGAAGAAGCGTGATTACTTTGACTTCACCTCTGTTGCCATAACATGAATCATCAATACTTGGTCTATCTTTATCGCAATCGCTTCATTTGCTTTCTATGTAGATTTTTTATTTTCATTCGTTATACTTCTTTGCACGTAATTTTTTATTTAGGCCGACCACTATTTGTTTGCTTATCCCAAATACTGAAGCGCTGTTCTCTTCTCACTTTTTTGTTACTTTTTATTCTTGCACTGAATATAAGCACAAATGCAAAGCGTTTTGTAATTGATAATTCCATAACGTAAAGCTCTCCCTGCATTCATTTATTGTTGACCCCCCTATGTCTTTATTGTTGATTCCACAATTCCTATGTATCCTCCAGTTGAAGTTGCCACTAGTATTGCATATTCTGTAGTTAACTTCATCCTCACTAATGCGTTCTGATAATTTATCCTGCCTGTAACGTTGAGCTTTTTGTTCATTGTTTTTCTTCAGAGAGGTGCCTGGCTACCTCGCTCACTACTGATGCTTCATGATGATGACTCAATGCACTCTCGTATCAAACCCGCCTCTTGAAGTTGAAACTCGGCCTCCGCACCACTTGAAATATCAAGCCTTCTTGCTTCATCTTCATCAATTTTCTGCGACTCGGATCTTGATGGTTACATAATGTGATGAAGTGGCCAGAAGGCAGGAGATGTTCTTTACTCAGCCTCTCAGCTAGCGAGGCAATTAGTTGATATTTATAATGGAGACTTCGTTAACGAGGGCATCGAAAGTGCGCTAGGATTCCTTCTCCTTGTACACCAAATTTTGTTTTGAGAGTATCATGGATGTTTTTTTTTAACGACAGCAACTAAAATATATTACTTATATTTAGTTTTTTTAAGTCGCTATCATTATAGGTATTCACTGAAACCTAGAAAACGTACAAGTGACTATACAATGACAAACTTTTTTTTAGAGTTAGCAACCGAACCGGGATGATAATTATTTACAGCTGATGTTGAACCTAATTCATTTTCTTTTTTGAGATGCGACACAGTTAATTTTTTACTTGTTTTGATGTCAGTATATTTGAGTTTTTTTTCTGCCTGTGCTTGACGAACTACAAAGGGTGCTTAGCAGCCTTGTGCAGTACTGCCCAATTTGCATAACAAATCAGACTGCTTCTACGCACTGTCAGAAAAAACTCTCTTTAGCTCACCCTTCTCTCTCAGCTCTATTCATTCAACTCTATTGTACATTCAATATTCAAAGCTTACATCGATGGAAAACAATTTAGAACTTGGAGCCTGAAGTGCGACATGAGATGGTGTCAGGGCATTTCATAGTATTATTAACTGATTGTAAATTTAATTTAGTACAGAAGTCTAGTTATAGTATATTTTTTGTAAAAATAACCGAGATGAATTGGGAATAATTCACGTCATGTGGAGCATCTTGGAGAAATTCTACGTGTATTGCGTTGGCTTGATCACGCGGTCTCCACGTGGCCTGTCCCGCCTATCCTAGTTGTAGCGAACTCAACCTAAATGTTCAATGGATGAATACAAGCACCTTAATAGGCCTTATTTGTCCCATGCAGCATGTGGATGCTCAGGAAATTATTCTAGAGTTGAGCAGCCCGGTTTTATCACTTGATGCAAATAAAAATGAATGCCGTAACTCGGGTTCGCATCTCTTACTTTTAAGAAAATGCCTTTCGCACTTGAAATATATCTTTATTCATGTCGGATTAGGAATGAAACTTTGTTCTTCGAGGAAATTTATTACATCCATATGCTTGGTTTAGTTATGTGTCTGTCTCATTGTGCTTAGTAAATAAATGTTCCTTTAATGACTGAATATCTACATCTTTGTTCCAAAATCTCATCATCCACAATATTGTGTCGTGAACACTAACACATATAACGTCATTGAATGTTATAAACCAAACCATGTGCGAGTACAGAAATACAAGTGCGTTCAATGAAGGATATTGTCACTCTGAGGTCTGAACCTTGCCCGAGTCTACTGTGTCTTAACAAATTATTCATTGCTAATGTTGGTGGTTGTTAACAGTTAAGTTTGTGATTATATAGATGATATATATCTTCATTTTATATAACAATAGAAGTAACGATTCAACATCAACTTAGCCATCCTATATTTATATATCTGATTGCGCTGGCCCTTCGAGCCTGATTAATTCCTTCGACTGGCCATCGGTAAATTTTGCTCAACGGTTATGCGTTTAGAATATTCATCAGTGAACCCGTTTAAAATAGCTTTGTTATAAATCTAAAGCCAACATAAGAAACTGGAGAAGTAAATCTTGATGAGGGGCTGCAACAAACGCCTATTTTCCTGATATAATTTTCTATTCGAACGATGGCAGCAGGAGGGAGTGGAGAATGAAATGCCTGACCGCTAAACATAAAATAATGATGGCAGAGGTGGCCCTGAGTAACGCAAGCTTGGTAATTTATCCTATGGAAACTTTCTGATTCTTTAATAATAATTTACTGCAATAATATCTGCCAACTTTCCGAGTCATGTCAACCGCAACCAGTGCAAAGCGCATTGTAGGAACTGGAGATACCGACAACAGACTTGTCATCCTCAGCCCCGTTAGCTCTCCAACATTCTGGATCGGCTTCAGTGGCACTACTGGCCAGTGGCCACTTTTACGCTCAGAAATTCGATAATACATACAAATGTCTCGCTAGTGATTTGCGATCTGAGCATGTTGACACTAAATATAGAAGACAGCCGATCGAAGCCAAGAGCTTTTTGTCTAAGTTCGACCGCTGGGCATTCAGCGGCCATCTGAAAATCGCCCGTTAGCTTTACAGGTGTAGCAACTGGAATTTGAGAGAGAAAAGAGGTAGATAACGATGGAGTAAAGACGTGAGCTAGGGATTTGCAGCGTGAAGCTTCTGATTGACTTTGTGGACCGCTAAGGAAGAAAAGTCCACCATGAAACTACGAGTAGTTTTCACACGAAAGAGTACTCAGGAAAAGTGGCTTCCCAACGTCCACACCCCCATCCACCGGCTTCTTTCAAACCTCCACACCCAGTTCAATCTGTCATTTCTAAGCCTTCGCATCAAAATAAGTTTGCCATTTCTAAAAGTCTATAATGAAATCAGCCTACCATTTCCAAATGTCCCATCCGAATTAGGCAGCTATTTCCAAACGTCCATACCTAATTTAGTCTGTCATTTCCAAACGTCTGCATCAAAATCAGCCAGTCATGTTCAAACGTCCGCATCAGGCCGGTTTGCAATTTCCAAACGTCCATATCCAAGCCACTCTTCAATTTTCTCACTCTAATTGGTCTGTTCCAAAAGCATTCCTCCACCCATTCAGTCGGCTCTATGAGAACTACAGCAAACGCTTGGCTTCATTTCATGACACTTAAACCGGGCCGTCCACTGAAGGCATGAAGTTCAGAGTAGACCGTCGCTCAGGATTGTTGCTGTGGGTCGCCCAGGATTCGTGCTCGAAATATTTCACGCCGGCCTCTTCTTCTCGCGGGGACTTAAACGCCCAGACGACTCTAATCTGCAGCGTAAAGGTCATCACGTTTAGAGTTTTGTTGAGAAAATCACAGTTTCAGTGTACCGAATCATTGGTTTTATTCTTAGAATGTTGGCAACTTGTAGGCAGTGAATGATAAACATTTAATTTCATAGCCATGCGATAATGAATTAACATTTGCGAGAATTTGTGATGGCATTCGAACAAGCAGAAACTGAAATGCTGTGCAGTGCGGAATAAAAGCGTAATTCACTGGAAATGGAGTTAAAAGTTGCGACATCAAAGCACCGCCCTGATTTACTTACTGGCCGAACGTCTAACCATATTTAATTCGATGGATAGTCACCAAACTTGTTTTAAGTTAATCATAAAATATCAGTGGCATCGGTAAAGGAAATGAATTTTCACCGTGCTAATGAATCGTCTCTAATCATCGAGCTTTCTACAGTTGATGTGATTTTTAATTGTTCATTCTGAGAAGTCTTGTCAGCTCGTCAAATTATGAATTTATTATTAAAACTAATATAATAGAATTCGGAAGTGTGTATGAAATTCGTCTAATGACATTCCGTCGGAATGTCAGTCGGACAGGATACAATGAAGCAAGATGATAATCACTCAGAAATGCGATTCTATTATGGTGAAAGAGCACTCGAGAGTGAATGACGGCCAAATAATCAGACAGTGCAAGTTAAATATCACTCGGAATGTAAATGTTTTACTTCATTTCCATCACGGCAGCGGACCAGTTCGCTGAGATGCAACATCTCCGAGTGCCAGCGGCAGGCTGGATTGCTGCGAGCGCGTGCAACATTACATTAGTTCTAGCTCAACCCTTGACTGCTGTGCCTCACAACGAAGGCTAGAATCATCTTTCGGAGTTAATTTTTCTAGTTAATGGAGAGGAGAGTGTTCTTTTTTTGATATGTGGGCTAACGATTTCTGCATGTGTGAATGAGGTAGCATGCTAATTGCAGCAAGTGAACAATAAGAACCACTGTTCTGTAGAAGCGGCTGAAAAATTTTTTTCTCGTTTAAGATAGATCTCTTATTACGAATTTGCATCAATAGGACATATTATGGAATTTGTCTGAATAGCGGTAGATTGTGTACTATGCAGTGCAGGCTGGGTGTAAAAAAAATTATAAAGTCTAAACTATAAAATTACGGCAATTTGACTGATATTGTTGATTTATAACATAAGCATTTACTTATATGTTATATTTGCCATGGTCTCTCCGTAATCGGGTACTTCTTCCTGTTTAGTGGCTTGTAAATAATGAAAACTCAAAATTGAATTATATCAAATTAGGGATCTGTTTAATCAACTAAAGGCTGTTAGGCTTACGTGTAAAGTTAGGTAGCTGGTTTGATCTATCCTGTATAGTGTATAGCATGAACCTTAACATTAGCAGGGCTCTGCCAATCATGTAATTAGATTTGACACTTAGGCTGCCTAGGCAGGCCTCTTCCGACATACTGGGGTGTTATTTTTGAGAATCGCTTTTGCTCTGAAATTCTTCGCCCAGTCTCACGCACATTAATCATCACACTGCGGCAGTACTACAAAAATACCTACACGTTCCTAACAACAGCATCAGTAGTGGGGATATGTGAGCAGCTGCTCTTGTATGGTACAGTCAGTGAGTTGGGGGTGATATTACAGTTGACATTAAATGAATGAGGGGATGAGTGAGAAAACCTGAGCTGTTTATTTCAACGATTTAAACCTGTTACGAGGCATTGTATTTTCATATTAAAGAGACTCAACTTTTTTCTGATATTTAAGGCTGCTTCGATAGTTGAGATAAATGTGAGATTAAGAACATGTGATACATGGATTAATTACTCAATAAATATGAAAATCAAATTGTAACGAACATATAAAAACTCTGGTAAAGTACAAATTTCAAATCATAAAATTCACGAAGAGAATATTGACCATAGCAGGATACTATAAAACTACCTTCGTCCGAACAGGCTTTCTCACACGGCTGTAATAGATCTTTTGATTATTTATGGTACAGAATGCATTTGTTTCATATTTATTCGCGTTTAAGAATCTTAACTCCGGGAATAAAGGACGATTTGCTAACCAGAGGACACATGATAGCTTCTAATTCAGGTACAATTCGCGCATCTCACCTGATTCTGCATTGCGGCGATGGTGTTAATCCAATTTTGCTGAGCCTGAAGCTTTATCTTCAGGATCTCTTCATCGTAGTTGAAATGCTCAACTTCCTCAAATAACTTATGTTCACTGAAAAGAGAAAAAATCCATGTATACGATTATTGTTATTGAAGTCTATAGCATTCGCCAGTAAAATCTTACCTTATCGGCATAAAACGAAATTTTTTCTCCTGGCAAACGTGGTGAGTTATTAATTTTAATGACTCGATCACCATAGAAATAATCAAATCATATTATAGTACAGAAAGCTGCTTAAATACTTGTGATAAGCCTTAGATAATGGCGCATGATAGAATGATAACATAGACCCGAACCTTTCGATGCAAACACGTTTGAGGCAAATCCTGGTGATGACCCCGATGATGAACTGCCACACGAGCGTGAACGCTCCCAGTGCGACGCACAGCGCCCATTGCTCGATGGCCAGGGGCGCCGTGCTGAAGGCGTCGCCTCCAACCTGGACTATGAGGATCTGTTCAAGAGCACATGATCAGTGGAGGGATTCTTGAAATGTATTAGAACAATCTGCATGTCGCGCTGGTCATATTGTGATTTAAACCTTAAATGATATCGTAAATTTTGCTCGAACACATTAAAGAAATTATCATTTGCATATCGCTCGGTCAAAATACAATTAGATGACCACTGTTCAATTTGTACGAGTGTTTTTCTACTATAACTAGCACTTATTATGCACTTATGACAGCACTTATTATGCAACCTACGTTTTAGGACAAAATAATCAGGAGGAATACAGCAAATTTCCTTCTTGAACTATCTAGAGTAAAGTAATAGGAATTTCATCAGAGTTGAAGGAAACTAATGAACAACGCACAAAGCTAAGACATTTCTAATGTACCTGCGTCCTGACGGAAACTATTTCAATGACCAACAAATTGCGTCGTTTTCTACATACTTGTGCCACAAATTACCAAGTTGACAGGTCGAGGCATTTAACACGTACCTGCACCAGAAAAGTCCCAATCCAAATAACGTAGAAGTAAATGTTTCTGAAGATTCCCACAAATACGTTGAGTTCTCCATGGACCTTCCTTGAGTTTATTTCGTTGAAAAGAGTCATTATGACGAACGAGTTGAATATGACAGTAAAGTGTTGACTCGGGGGCGAGTTGATGCCGTTGTCAAGTCCAGAGTCGATGTTAAGAATCACGTGACCTTAGAACGAAATCGACATAAGAAACAAATCAAACAATTGGGTCAGTACCCACTGCAGTGAGTGACAGAGAGCGCATTTTCTCGTCCGTCCGTGACGTGAAGTTACGGACGGACGGACGGACGGACATGACGAGCACAATAGCGCCTTTTTTCCGTAAATAAGAAAATGCGTTATAAATAGTTTGGAAAAATGACACCTATGGATGAAACCTGTACATGCAATATATCCACTGGTCGGAAATAACTTATGCAGATAAAAACTTGTTTACTATGGACTTGATTGTGATGCAGCCGATCAAATAACACAGATGTTATTATGTAATAGCACAGACTTTCTTATAGTGTACAAGGAATGAGGTAAAATAAATTACAGATAAATAAGGTAAAAGTAAATAATAACGTTAAAATAACTATAGACATGTAAGATTTATCTGTGAATTTTCATCTATTTTGGACATTAAAACAACTACAGTCAGTACCTTTGAAGAGCAGAACGAATATGACGGTCACCATGTAGATGGCCTGTCCCACCATGTTGCGGATCATGATGGGGGAGAGCAATGGCTTCTTCCTTCCGTAGGGCTCTCTCTTTAGCAGCTCCTCTGTCGGCGGCTCCGTTGCCAGGGCCAGCGAAGCCATTGTGTCCATGATTAAATTCACCCACAGCATCTGCACTGCCTGTATTGGGAACAATATTCCTCGTAGAAATCAGGTGCAAATACAGGTTCACTTAGTAAGCGCAATTTTTAAAAACATAAGCTCTTTGTAACAAGTTCCAAAGATCAGGTTCCAAAGGCCGGATCCCTTGTGAGCAAGTCACGAAAAGTTCAAGAATCGGCAACAGGCCATGGGCCTATTTCTTCAACGCCGACACTTCTATTCTATTCTATTCTAAGTTAAAAGGCTTCAGATGGTTGTTATTTATTCAGTACTGAACTGTTCAGCATATGAACTGTCGTGTATGTGTCTCAAAATTTCAACAACGACCACCTCTGTCATAATAGTTGCACGTATTGCCACCTTCAGAGGCGAGTCACTGATGACGCAAACGCTGACGAAGGCCACCACAACAGCAACGATGTTCACAGTCAGCTGGAACTGCAAGAACTTGGCTATCGAGTCGTACACGTTACGACCCCACATCACTGCCTTCACGATCGACGTAAAATTGTCATCAGTAAGCACGATGTCGCAAGCTTCTTTAGCGACGTCCGTACTATTAAATTAACTTAACGAATATTTTCCTAAATCAGCCGGTATGATTATGATATCGTTAAGTAATAATGAAAAAGCGAATTGCTACAAAATGATGCGGAATCTGACCATGGCGAAGCCAACGTCAGCAAGTTTGAGAGCCGGACCATCGTTTGTCCCGTCGCCTGTGACGGCCACAACTTCAGAGCCCCTGGGTGAGTTGATGATACCCTTGACGAGCGTGTGCTTATCCTGGGGCGATGACCTGGCCAGCACCCGCAGCCTCGGCCATACTTCCTCCATGAGGTCTTGCTGCACCTATCATAAAATGCATGGGTAATCATTAAACTTGTTTCAATGAATCGCAAGCCTCAATTCCTTACATCAGAAAGGTATGTTTTTACCCCAAGCCTTCTTTAAAGCACAAATGTTAAAGGTATGCCACTTTTTAAATAATGGTCCACTTTGATCTCTAAAGCGAATCAGATACTCGATAAAATTGCATCATTTTGTTAACATCAAATTGCTGTTGTTTCTGCATTAAGTTAGATTAACGTGGGGCGATTTCAGTGATGAAAATTAAGTATCGCAGTGTGCAGAGAAACGGAGAATTTTGGGAAGATAACGTGAGGAAACTTTGGTCCTCTCATTAAACTTATTCGGTCTACCACCATCGAAATAAAAGTCAGGCTCACAATTTTGTTCCTATATTTTGTAGTTTAGTCCGGTGACTTCAGCTCGTAAAATTTCAAGTGTATAGAGATTATTTCTACGTGCAAACCGTGAATGTAAGACTTACAGTGCCTTCCTTGTCGCGAATCATGCGGTTGAATTGTTCAGAATCGAGCATTAGTTCATTCTGGCCCGGCTCTAAGATGCCACATTTTGTGGCGATGGCCTTTGCCGTGGCCAGGTTGTCTCCGGTCACCATCCGGACCGTGATGCCAGCAGACCGACACTGTGCGATAGCTGCTGGAACCTGTGCAATATGAACGTGAAATTTGGAAGAGATATGTGTCTTAATTTGACGAATATTTGATGATAAACAATACCGGAGTCTGAGACATTCGTTACAATGTATCAGAAAAGTCATACAGGCGGATGAATCTTATATGAACAACAGCATTATGGCCACCAACCTCCGGCCTCACGGGGTCTTCCACCCCCACGATAGCGAGAAGCGTTAGTCCAGACACGACTTGATTTTCGTCATCGAGATCTACGTCACTGGATTCGCTGGAATTAATTTGCTGTCTTTGTAGAGAGGCTGCATTACTCGTGCTGCTCCCCACACTCAGCTTGCGCTGACTAATTGCGTCTGGGTCGTTCATGTCACTCAGCGACGCCCCGAGCGACAAAGTCGAAGCCGACGACTTGGCAGAATCCGGAGTGCTACCGCCACTCGTGTAAGAAGCTCTCCTTTCCTTCGGTAGTATAAAATATAACAATTGTGTATCAGAGGTGATTGTATTTTTAGAAAAAATCGCACAGAAGCAACTGATTTCGTAATTTTACAATACTATTTATTAACCGAACGAAATTATCCATGCAAAGGAAAAATAGGTAGCGAATCTAAAGAATGACAACCACTGCTTATATTTCTTGAAGTTTTGACCAAAAATTAAGTCGTAAAATAATCATCACAATCATCGTTTGTAGGATAAATACTGATAAGACATGCCTCCTCCAGAGACAGGTGCGTGAGGTTGGCGACGAGCTTGTTGCTGCAATGGATGTCCCTGTAGGCTATGCCGATGGTCCTGAGCCCCTCGGCCGCCATCTTGGAGATGACGTCCGTCTCAAGCTGCACTTGGTCTCGGTGCTCGTGCGGCACCCGACGGCCCTCCATGCTGATGCGGTGCGTGCACCTAACGTGGAAAACAAGTCGGACATCTCAGGCCGAGCAGCTTCCAAATTAGCTCATATTACTACGTATATTTATTTTATTATTTATTAAATCTAATCCTTGAACGAATTATTAAACACATTTTGATGGTGATAGTGACATAGTTATTTTTTCCTACATAGTGCATAAAACTGGTTTTTCATATTAAATATTGTCTTGATTGGGTTTGCACGTGGTCCTTGGAAATAATTCATGATGTTTTAAATGTTTGATGAATGGAACGGAGTCTTTATTCCGTTGACTGTACTTACCACGAATGGAATACTCATTTTTAAGCGTTAAGTACAATTGTAAATAACATAACGCAATGCAAGGCATCTGTAGGGAATTACACGTGTTTCCTCTCCGAGACAACTGACTTGGAATTGATGACTTCTGAAGCGCCCTTTGTGAAGACCCTGTAGACATCTCCCTCCAACGGCACCACAGTGGACATGCTCTTGCGAGCGGAGTTGAAGGTGAAGACTTTGACGAAATTTTTCTCGGGATAATGGGCCCTGATCGTTTCATAAGATAGACCCATATTCCCAACTAGGCCCAATAAGCCACACTGCAAAAAAATGCAGCCATGCACAAATTTTCGTACACATCAAATTTCCAGAAAATGGCAACGGCTCAAGACGAGCACAATTTTTCCTTCGAATTAAATTGACAGGGAACAGAATATTTTGACTCGATTACACGCTTGAAAAACACGTTTAACTAATGTTCGTGAAACATAAATTTTCATGAAAAAAAAACCTTATTCACAAAAAGTGACATCTACCCACCATCTTGGGGAAAATGCGGAATCTTATTAGTCACTTAAACAATGAAGATATTTTTAGAACTTTAGAAGAATTTTCTATGTACAGAGTTCATTTCTTGTAGGAATAGTAAATGAAAGACTAAATATACACACAACCTTCTCATACAATGATAATGTAACTATATATATGAGTTTCGGTCAATATAGCCGGACAGGATGGTAACATTCTAACCTCTGATGGACAGGGGTTAGAAATCTAGACATTATCGAGTCCGGTTATGTACTAAGTAACTAGTTTGTGTTTAAAAACCGGACGCAAAAATAAATAAACTACACTACAAGATATTCTAAAAAAAGCCAACCTCGTTAGGTTAGAGTTAGAGTTAGGGTTAGGTGTGTATAATACACTTCTTTACGTTGCTAGACAACTTTCTACTGAGTATTAGCTAGGTCCAGCCAGGCAAAATTATTTATAGTTTTTTTTCACAATTTTACAAAAGTCATCGGGTACAAAATAATCAAAATAATCGTAGTCCGGATAAGTGGGGTTAAAAACATATATATACATGTATACATACCTCTGTTTTGTTCCCGATCTGCTTCGGGAGCTCGCCGGGCCGCTCAGAAGGGACGATGCAGGAGGAGTAGTTGCTGTTGACGCTGATGGCTTCTGCCAGCAGGCGGCTCACAGATGGCGTCACGGAGTTCGGTGCAGGAGGGGATCTGAGCAAAAATTATTATTCTAGTAATCTTATTTATAACGGTTAGAAATTTAAATATTTTTATATCATAATTAATTAGAGTTAGTAAAATTTTGAAGTCCATTTTCTCAAATGACTAAAACTAAATGAATCAGTTACCAGACATATATAAAATAAAGGAATTTGATCGTCAAATCGTCAAAGCAGTGCCCGCAATTGGCAAAAAGCATAGAACATAATAAAAAAAGAAAAATTTAAATTTGAAATAAATTTATGGCGTTATTGTTTATCCGTGTATGGATTTTTAATGAACCTGAATGGAATAAAAGTTTATCTTACTGGTAGAAGGTGTCCTCGACGTAAGCTTGAACAGCCGTCATTCTGTTGGTCGTAAGAGTGCCGGTCTTGTCGGAGCAGATGGTCGTGGCGTTGCCCATCGTCTCGCATGCGTCCAAGTGCCGCACTAAATTCTTGTCCTTCAGCATGCGCTGAAAAATCAACGTAGATTGATTTATTATTAAAGACAAGCTTCAAAAGAAATATTATCAATTAGTTGATAATTATCAATTAATATTATCACCTTGACTGAGAAGGCTAACGAGATGGTGACGGCGAGAGGCAGTCCTTCAGGCACGGCCACTACCAGGACCGTCACACCCACAATCAAGTACTTGAGGAAGTAGAAAAGATCGTTCACGCTGAATGTTTTTTTGTCGACGACGTAATGTTGGATGCTGAAACGCAGCACCATGACAAATACCGTCAACGCCGCAATCACCGACCCTGCCGGCAATCAATTTGTTCCATATATTTTTGGGATAGAAATTTAGTCGCGAAGCATAATCGCTGCTAGAGTGCAGCGCCAAATCACCTAGCATTATGTCAAAAACTTAATAATTTTAACTAATTTATTGGCTACTGAAACATTCCTTACCTGCATGGGTCTTGTTTGAGATTTGTCTAAACTCGCGGGTTGCCGGGATAGAAAATCCCTGCAATTTGAGAATCTTGAATTCCAGTCTCCCGATTAGAGTATATAATCATATATATACACCTTCCACCGTTTTACATTGCTGTGTTATTCCCAAATTATAAGGTAAAATTTCAAGTCTAGATAATTTGAAAAGACGGTAAGTAAACTTGAAATGCGTGCTCACGCAGCCTATACATACCAACAGCGATATGCTTTAAACACATAAACAGAAAGCCAAAACGTTCACGAATAAATAATAGATTGAATGCATTGAATGAAATGGATTGAATTGAAGGGATTGAAAAAACCTCACGTCAGTTGTATGTACATTTTCACACCATGTACTGGCGTTCGTATGCGATCCCCTTACCTATACAGATGAGAATTTGATTTTTTTTAATAAAAGCCGTAGCTTCTGATGCATTTCCTTCAAGACTGTCGACACTTTGCACGTAAATTTGCTTTGAATGTAAAAACCAGGATCACCATCGGCTGCACGTCAGAGCGTGATCTGCAAGCTCAGCATGGGGACCGCATTTTCAACTCACTTTGTTCCATAATGTTCCTTTTCGGTTCTTCTAATGAAAAAGTTAATTATACAAAAGGCAAAGATGTACAATATGTTTAATTTTGTCGGAATCATCACTGTCAAATGAGACACAGGATCATGCTTGCAATTATCTCACCAGCTTTGCCGATCTGCAAGGCGAGTTTGCTGAGCTTCTTCTGCAGAACAGACTTGGTGTGGCCACCGCCCTCTGAGGAACCTTTATGGTGGATAAATAAAAAGTGCAAGTGAATGACAGTTGAATTATGGATTGAAATCTGCTCAGTTATGAATCTTTGAAGACCAATTTTTATTTGTTTGCACACCAATTGTCATAGTTGGAGAAGTATTGTGAGTTTGAAGTATTGTGAAATTTGTAATTCAACATCGTTTCGAATATTTTCTTCTATCGCAACACAAGAAATAAATCATCATTTCATGATTTTATACGGCTTTCATATTTGCGTTTCGTATACGTTATTTTATTAACTGATTATATTATAAATTGATATTTTGGTTTATTGATTCAAATACAAAGTGAAGATGTCAAGAAGCAATTTAATTTAATTTTTTATAGCTACTTTGAGTTTATTACATTTGTATTGCTTCCTCCGACTATCTAAAAGATCCGGGAAATGCGTCAACTTCATTGCAAAGTCAAAATTTTTATTTAAATGCTCATATTTTAATTCCTGGACATGGCAGGAGTTAAGCTATGTATATATGGATGAGCAGAAGATTTGTGATTGACAGAGGCATGATAACATAGCCTCAAACACAAACCAGGGGACAAGCTGGACATTTTCCTTGGAGATTTCAAGAGAACATATTGGTAACTAGCCCGCTAAAAGGTTAACTACTAATGACTAAACTAGAAGATACTCCGATGTCTCTTTCAGATGGAAACGAAAGCATTTCCCCAGCTGAAGGTGAGCTCACCGGAGGAGTCAAGCAGCGACATGATGACTCCCGTCCGGGAGTGCGTACCCACCGCGGTCACCACCATCAATCCGCGCCCCTCCATCACGTTCGTGCCTGTGGGGAAAACATTACTACAACATCTCAGCTGAAAAAATTTATAGACCTTATTTTGCAGTTTATCAACACTCATAGAGAAATAGAGATCCCTCGTGAGATAATTATTTAACTTGAGGTACCATTTGATGCATAGAAAAGATTTAAATCTCAAAATGTATAAGAGTAGACATAGTTATTTCTTAAAACCCACTTTTTTACTATACAATCTAACTTCGATCCCTATTCGTCTGGAAAAATGTACCAATGCAGTCGATAGGAAATTCAAAGATGCCATACTGTTTAAATTCGCGAAATTCTACCTGATGATAATAAGGAATGTAATTGACGAAACTAAGTTCGATATATTGGTGTACCAGAGAAGAGCAAGATGTCTTCATGGACCGTCTTGTCGACGAGGTCAGGCTCGCCAGTCAGCGACGATTCGTCCATCTTGACGTCCGAGCCCTGCAGCAAGACTCCGTCCGCCGCAAGCTGGTCGCCGTACTGAATCTACGGCCAATATTGCTTTAGGTTCACACAAAATCTACAATGTTCTGTTGGTAATTAAAGCAAGATTAAGTTAATCTTAGTCCGAGGGTCTAAAACTTGCGGCCCATGTTAGAGGTGAGCATTGACCAGGGGGTCTGAAGGGGTCTAAAATTTTTAGTCCAGGGGTCTAAAACTTGAGGCCCTCATCTCCAACATGGCGATGTATGTTAGAGGTTAGCATTGCCTAATACCATCATACTTTTCATATTACTTTCCGTGCACAGGCCTTCTACTGAGCAGAGTAACCTATGAAATTTAGTTTAATTAAGTGTAGCTGTGCAATGTGCGTGATTATGATGAGCATTGGCTAAGGTCTAATTTAAGAGATAAATGTGTGGCCAACCACTGCGCTCCCTATGATGGTATGTTGTTCCTGGTGACTAAGACCATGTAATATTTTTTTATCGGGTTTGTCATTTGCGAAAGAGATTTCATTGCAGAGGAGAGTTTCATCAAATTTGCTGTAATAGTGTAGTAGGCCTTATATGTCAAAAACTACAACTTAATGCATGTATTAATGGCTTATATATTGGTGGCTTTGTGGACTTCATTGAAAATTAATCAAAATAGCTAGTCTATTACTGCTACTGTATATATATGACTAATGATATAAATACTGATAGAATTGTGAGAATGGGCCAACGATGGTGCATAATAGAAATGTACAAATTGCCTCTGCAAATTACAGAGAACGACATTTGAACGTTATTTTTAATGACGACATTGCCTAGTTCCAGTTGTCCTTCGTCCCATGAGTTCATCTCTCTTCATCGAGTGAGTTCGTCCCATGGAGTATAGATCAAATAAGGTTCACAAATGATATAGTGAAGTACTCGACTGAATGCTCATAAGAACTTTTAGCTTCACGTGGCATTGACGATTAATTATACCTTGTAGAGATCGCCGACGAGCAGCTCGGTGGCAGAGATACGCATGTCCTGGCCTCCTCTGATCACAGAGGCCTCTTTGGCACCCGAGACTGCCTCTGACAGGCCTCTGAACTGGCGCTCTTTGCTGCGCATAGAGACGATCTTTGAAAAAAATGCTAGCCCCCAAAAAATACAATTATGGCGATCGATGACTCAATAAAATAAAAGCATCTTATCAGGAATGATTTACAATTAATTTAGAGGATTAATGTCCAACATTTTAATCATCATCTCACCATCATTCACCTGCAGGAATTGAAGGCAGTACATGAAATAGTCGGGAAGATCCGGTCATAAAAGACCCCAGTCATCAACACGAACCCTTAGTCATCGAAAACAGTTATAAAAAATCACTCCAGTCCATTATAGAAGTCACCAATACTCATTTCCAGTCATTGAAGGCAGTGGCCGTCACTCACCTCCAGTCATTGAAGGCAGTGGCCGTCACTCACCTCCAGTCATTGAAGGCAGTGGCCGTCACTCACCTCCAGTCATTGAAGGCAGTCACTATTACTACCACCAGCACAGACGCCAAGATGGCGGCGCCTTCGATCCATGCTGATGAATGATCTTCACCATCTGCTCAAGAAAAAAATAAAAACCCTCAATTTAACGCAAATTTTATTTACGAGGCTCCTTGATTTAGCATAATAATTATTGCGCGGAGCTCACTGCAGGACGCAACAGACTTCGTTTTAACTATTTTTAAATTTAGGTTTGATCAATTGAGCTATGGACAATTTTGGAGTTGAGAAGCATACCTGGATTAGGGTCATGATAGAAGGATAGGCCCAGACTGAAGATGGCGGCCACAAGTAGGATGATGAGGGTTGTGTCGTTTGATGCTCGCAACACAAGTCTAAGGAAAGACGGTGGTTTCTTTGTCGGAACGAAGTTCTCGCCAAAACGTTTTTTACGCTGTACGTAGTCGCTGTCCTCGTCCGGTAGACCTGAATGAAACGGAATGAATGAAAGACTCTTAAAATCGCGAAGGCTTCAGGAACAGAAACATTCCTTCACTTGAGCATTTCACCGATTCTTCTTACTATCAATCACCCCATCCTTTGTTATAGAAGTATGTGTGCGTGTGCTTTAAGCAATGATTTCATGGATACTATATACGTTCCATGCTCGCCACGTCCGCGTCGCCGCGGTCTACCATCCCTAATGAGGAGCAGGTCTCATTGCAGCGAGGTTGCATACATGCTTAGAACGCATTCATGCTACCATGCACTTTTTAGGGCGTCGTTGGAAAATTTTTATGATCAATACCGAGCAGAGTCCGGAGTACTGTTACTGGTCACACACTTCTTTCCAACATTTTGTGATCGCAATTACCTCTCGGAGGTTACGAATGCTCCTCTTACCACCAAGTAATCGTCGCGTATCACTTATACGGCGTATTAGCGGATATTATGTAATATTAGCAGCAAAATACTCTACTAAATGCGCTTATAATTAACTCTTCTAAGCAAGTTTGTTGTTTAACTTTATCGACGGACCGCCAAGACCAGGTGGTCGGCGTGTAGCAACAGTTGCAAATTGTTGCCATCTAGCGTCATGTTAGGTAAAAAATATTTTTGTTTGAGTGATACATTATATATTGATCGTGATCCCTAAAATGTTCAGGCACGATCTAGCTAGAAGGCCTGCAACTATCGCTAGTGGTACAAATAACACGGTAATGGATCTCCCGCTTCATGGTAGCGCAGAAGTCAATTAGTTTTCAGTTACTTATTTAACGATGGTGCCCTTGACACCAAAACTTTGTTTCGATAAGTCGCTTACAGAACTTTGGTTCTAGAGCACTAGATAGTTAACCTGCTACGTTCGAAAGCCTATTACTCCGAGTTAAGTAATAATATTGGTAAGCAGCCTCGCTGAATGCTCCACAGGGTTAACCTGACAGATGAAACTGCCTGTCTCGCAGGGACTACCGTTGCTGGGATAGCCTGGATTGCCTGGTTAACCTGCAAATTAATGTTCTATTTTATTAGTCTACTATGAAAATATAATATCATAGTCTTGGGGTTTCTATCATAGTCCGATATAAACTAAGAATTACGCGAATTCAAACCAAGCTGGTATCCAGGCATTGTCCGGAATAGATGATTATCTTTTAAATTTGAGAATCTCTTTTCCAATCGCGTCGTTCTGAATCCCATCATCCTGCCATCACGGATTATTTCATGGCAAATCCCGTCATAACGAGTGCCGCTATTGCAAAAACCGTTCTTATAGTCCCTTCATATCGAATCCCATTTTCCTATACTACCACTTTTTATAAACCCGTTATATCGAAAGACGTCATTCCGAATCTTCTCATCCCAAATCCATCAAATGACCTTTAACTTGAATACGTTAATAAAAAGAAGTTCCTTTAATACCCAATTCTAACGTGAAAATTTTATCCAACTCTCGATTTGAAGTTAAATGGAGCTTTAAATCTTTAATTCCTGCACAGAATGAACATAAAATTAAATTGAATGCTCTGTTAATATCCAGTTCAATAAGTGCACGTTAGACGGGCTCGTTCAGCCCCTTATATTGCCAACGCCAAGATTTAGCCACACAAACTTTCACAGTTACATAATAGATACGCGAATTACTGAGAGATAATCACAATTAAGTGGCTAAAATGCCTCATAATTCGGTAAAAAAGAATTTGAGAAGAATGAACATTAGGAAGGAGAAAAATTTTCATTTTTCGGTGTTCAAGCCGAGCTAACGGCGGAGCAGAAACTTGCATAGTGACATTTAACTTATAACGCGACCTTCTAGGTGCGCCGAAGACAAAGGTTACGGCCGCAACGCATGCGTTTCTAAATAGAACGCTCTTCTACGAACATGCACTTCTTCAGGCGTCGTACGTTGAGCAGGATGGAGTTACCATTTCAGATGAATAATGCAGTAATATTGTAATGACAATTCAAGCTTAATTAAGGCGCTGACGCATCCTGGCGCTTCATATAGAGTATATAATAAAGAGTAACTGAAAATATGGGCTAATATGAGGCTGAAGACTTTGATAAACAACAAGTTGCCCCTAACGAAAATATCTGCCCGTTTACGGACCTATTTTCTTCCTTTTGTCTTTTGTAAAAAATTACGAGATTAAAATTTATTCAAATGCAGGATTAGGAGACTAGGTCTGCAGAAAAACAGGCGCTATTGATTTCTGAGCTGAACCAAAGGCTTTGTTAAGACCTTCTTCACTCGGAGCTGAGGCTGTGAAGAAGAGGCAGCCTGGACAAGTTATTCATTAGGCCGAGCGACACGACCAGCAGCGGCCTTGTTCTGGCGGCGAGTATGATGTTGTCTCACGCGGCAGACAAGGACATAAATACTTTCATTTTGCGCCCCCGTTACTGCTTATTGTGCTCCTTATAATTTAAGAACGATACATTATTCAGAAATGCAACCTTTTAAAACGCAGGAGTTAGTTATCTCCATTCAAAGAAAATAATAGTAATCTCCATACGCCGCGTGGCATATCAATAAAAAATATACATTTCAACGGGCATTAGACGAAAAACGTGGCTACTCGAGTTATGAAGTATGACGTTCAATCAAAATGTAATATTTCACTGACCTCATCTTTCGAACTAATTTCGGTCAAGAAGTTTTTGCATTTTCTCAGAAAATTAAACTACTCTTTACCGGATTGGGACTTTTTTTCGAGGGTCTTTTCTCTCCGACACGATCGATGTCCATAAAAATATTGAAACAGTACCCAGATTAAATATTATTAAATCGTTGGAGTTTGTAAGCATGCATATTTACCATACTCGATCTTGTTAAGATTGAACTAAATTTCCCTCAATACTTCAGATGATCTATATATATAAATATTTTGCACGAAAAATCCCAGTCTCATGCACTAAGACCCAGTCATGCACTTAGACCGACTGACCGCTACAATATAGATCTTTAAAATCATGTTCCGTCACAACACCAACATTTTTACAAATCTGATAGAACGCGCACCGCAGATTTGTTCAGAATTCGCAACTTATTAGAAGTTATGAGAACCTTAACCTGGCAAAGCAGCTGCCTTCACAATTGCTGGGCATAAATGAAGAAAGCGCACTCGTATAAATCATGCGAATCCTAAACATTCCTCATTCGAAAATCTCTGGCAGAAATGAATCATTAAACCGCTCTTTAGAGAGATTTGAAGATTATTTGAATGTGGGTGAAAAATCCGCAGATTTTACCTCATTGAAATGATAAGTACTTGTTCAGATTATGTAGTCGAGGGCTGCACGTAACTGTGGTGCGTTTCGGTGATGAAGGATAAATTACCTGGCATTGGCGGAGCTTAGCAAGTTAGCTCTCCTAAAATAAAGTTTCACATTAAAAATGCTTCACCATCTTTGATTATCATAAGTAATAGGAACGCAGAGGAGCCGTTGGTCCAAAAGGTTGATTAGTAAAGTGACCTTCAGAGCAGCAATAACCTATACCGACCTACACGTAAATGGCAGCCTTGCCTGGTTCGCGCCGTTGCCTGCACTGCTGCCGTTCAATAACGTTCGATGACGTAATTTGACTGACGCATTCCATAACCTTCATGCAAATCAACCATGATTTTAATAATAATCTCTAAGATGACAAAATGACAAAATTGACGTTAAAATATATGATAAAAATTCATTATCGTATATACATATCATCCGTAAAATTTCACTGAGAGCCGAAATCCAATATTTCAATTTATTGACTAAATCAATAACACTCTTCGTTTTGGCAATACCTGATCAATATGTTCTAATAATGAATTATTTCAATTTGTGTGTTCCAATAACAAAGTGCTATTAAATTGCTCTATATACGTATATGCAGGTAAAGGATTCCATATAATGTACTGATTGAGGGAGAACATGTTCATGTGCAAAACCATGTGAGTGAGAAAAAGGTTTTGTATAATATACTGTATGAGCGAGAGAAGGCATTCAAATAATATATTGTTCTTTTGAAAATGTGACTTCATTTAACGTACTGCTTGAGTGAGAGTTATATTTAATTTTATATATTCCGTATAATTGAGTCTGGTTTATGTATGAGTGAGAGAAGGATTTTAAAGTATATTCAGTATGAGTAAAAATATGATTACATTCAACATAATGTGTTAGTGACCGTGGGATTTTGAAATTGATTAAGCCTTGAGAATGGACACAATGTTTAAGGTGAATTAGCATGCATATTCGGTTCAAAACCCCCATGTTATATGGGGGCTATATTATATTATATTATTATATATGTTCAGTTCCAAGTCTGGCGAGGGTGCAGATGTGTAAGAGAAATTAACATGCAGTTCCGTGTTAAGTTCCAAGTCTGAGAAGAAGCAGGTTTGTAAGATAAATTAGCATGCTATTTAATGCGTAATTTAATCCCTAAGTATTGGCCTGATGAGTAAAATGATCTTTTCTGCTTTAATGTTCTTTGTTGTTCTTTTCAAATTAATATTGTATGTGCGATTGCAATCAACGTTCTGTTTTACATCCGGCGTAGTAGATGTGTTAGAACAGTTCACATGCCTCCAGTCACTTTTTATGTTTGCGTTCAACAAGGAAGTTTTAAGATTGATTTACTTAATTTGAAGATGTATTGGCTCGTAATTAGGATTATCTGTATTACAATTAGTAACGCAGAATTAATCATCGTAGCTATAGTAGTAACATTAATCTTTGTAGTGGGCAATCTTTGTTGGTATTGAACGAGCTAACCTGAAGCCTAGCGACCATCTCTTTGTGATGGTAACAGTCTTTATAGCTAGGCGTACGAAGATTGATTCACAGGCATTTATCACGAATGTACAGCAGCCACTTCATGCAAGTGATCTCTCATTAATTGGTCAAATCAATAAATTTCTCAGAACCTTTAAAAACATTTTTAAATTCTAATTTCATGTTTTCTAATTTACATTTTTACAATATATGCATGTTCTCCATCATAAATGCAAGTCCCTCGTAGTTTATTTATTTGCAAGTTTAGTTTTTATAGGGTTCCGGGAAGCCTTTACAAAAACTATCCGAAGACAAATCCAGCTCCACTCAATAACCTTATCTTCAGCGATTAGAGAAATATAACGTATATCACATGCTCGAAGCACCAATCAATAGTATTTCTTCAAGGAAATACAGTTCCGGTATCAAAAGTATTCGCATCTCATTTAGTCACATCAATGATTGTCAGGGTGACGGGTATAAATAGTAGCGCTAACGCTCGAATTCTCTCGCCATGAATTGAAAAAAAAGTTTACTGTCGTTAAGAAGCAATACTCACATCTTGAGTAACTGATAATTGCTGAAAATTAGCTTTGTTTTACAGCGTAAACTTCATTATATTTTGCCCCATAGCTTCAATTTGATAATCAAATAATCCATTTGTCACTTCAATTTGTTAATCGTGGTCTGGCTCAACCCATCAGGAAGTGCAATTAATTGGTATGATGTGGACGGCTAAATAGACAAGTTATTTTTTCAATACGTTAGTTCTCAAGATCGTTTCCTATATTGCGACTAAAATTGAAGAAGACTATGAAGAAGACGTCTACTTGAGATAGATTGTATTTGTCGCCTCTCGATTTAAAGCATCGTAACATTTGAATTTAAGCGTCGCGTGAGGTCAAATAGTTTGCACGGCTTTTCTCTCGCTATTTAACATACCGTTAAAGGTTTCTGGAAACCAATGAAGGAACATGAAATATTAATAAATTATAGAGCAAAAAATCTAGTTACAATTACAACACAATATATCGAAAGAAATGTGTAGGGATTATGCATTAGTTTCTTTTTCAAAATAGAGCTGCATTGTTTTATGGGATTTGCTTTGCATGGGATTTAATTAATTAATAAACTGATTAATTCAAAGTACTTCCAAGCACCTATCTTCCAAATGTTATTAATTTGTTGAATGGTCGACATAATTTTTCGTAATTCATTTAAAATGAAAAGGTAAGAAGCTTCTCGAAGACTCTTGGTAAAGTAAACTCAATCACTGCTTGAGCGATTTCCACTTTTAGCGCTCAATAGCTGGAATTTTCTCTAAAGTCTGCACATCACTACTAAAATGCAAATTTTTGTTGGAAATAAAGCTTTCTAGATTAATAAATAATCGATCATGGCACAAGCGAGTCAGACCATTTGAAGAATTCCTCGCCTGAGGTGTTTATCGTCTCGGAAATTTGTACACAAGAGGCATTAAAATAGACTCAGCACTTATAGATTTCTATTGTTTTTCGATCGAAGAATCAAAAAATCATTATGGAACAAACGCGTTCTCAGTCGAATGCTTAAAAAAAGCGCCAGTTTATCACTACAAATTAAGCAGCTAGGTCGGGCTGGAACAAGCAAGGAAATTTCATGAATTAAATTCTGGTGAATTATCCTTCAAATATGTGCTGACATATGGGCGGTAGAAAATATTTCCTACCTTATCAACATAAAGATCAATAACAAAATTAATATTCCTTGGATTGTGTAAATTCATGTCCAGTATTTGGACGATACAAAGGCAGATTTTTCAGCCGTGGCAAGTGTAGAGATTTAAATCATCCTTCTTGTGAATAAATGTACCTTATTACAGGTAAGCGGGATGAGCTTTGCCGTGTACTCAGAATATCGTTGAAATCCTACGAATGCACTACAAAATACCAAATATTTTCTAGTTAATAGAGTAGAGGCTTCCCGTCCCAACGGGGGCTACATTTCCATTAAATCTAAGGTGGAATAATACCATGTGACAGCTTCCTTCCAAAATAATCATGGTTAGTACACCACATCAAGAAGTTATCGGAGGCGGTTGATGAAATGGCTGAGACAGGTGGGAAGTTTCAGAGTTGAAGGAAAGAGAGAAGTGCAGAGGAAACAAAGCTTGTTAATTCTTCTCTACGATAAAATTTAATGATTGCATATCTAAAAGAATTAATCAACGATATTGGCGTTTGCCAGCCATTAATCAAAATGGCTATTTTCATTTAGCTCACATACAGCAAACTTCTGAAAATAGCTAACAGAGCAGCGTGTGAGAATAGAAGAAATTTTGCATAATTTGCCGGAAATATCGAACAAAATTATAACAAAAATTTTTCTCTGTAAGAAATGAGCAACCAAATGTATGAATACAATGCTTATGAGAGAATTCAAGAGGGAACATTTTTATAGAGCTCCATGGATGAGTATAAATTAGCGATTCCCAAAATATTTGCTAGATAATGTCTCCCAGCGTTACCAGCATCTATTTCTCGTATCGAGGATACCATCATGTGCTGCAGGATGGTATCCTTAGATTGATGAAAAATTTGTTTGTAGATTAACGCAAATAACAACACATAATACCATTTTTCTTTAAGAAATAAAACAATCTTTGTGTACATTATTAAAAAATATTAATTTTGTATAAATTTGAAACTGCCTTACGTAAAAACTGAAGCACGCACATACATGCGGTTTTTGCGTTCAACGTGCCAATTCCTCAGCTACAAAATGAGCTCTAAAAAAGAAGAAAGCCCGATTTTTCGATTTTTACCAAACCCCCTCCCCCCCCACTTAAGTAGGGTTTTACCTATATTAAATCAAGTCTTATGTTGAATTAGGCATACTAGCAACTACACTGCGTGTGGCGTGAGGTACGAGCCTGCAGTAGTGACAGATATCATGAGGTTCAGTTTAAGTTTAGTTGACATTTTCTGTGTTCCATAATATTTTTCCGAAGTTCACGATGCATATTAGTGCTTATGTATGAAAAACATACGCACTGAAGACGAGTGCACTTGTGAGAATTATTAACTTGGTGCTGTCGAGTATGCCTCAGTTGGTCTTTCTGGATATACTGAATTTAAGAGTTTCATTATCCTCCTTATATAATGACACAACAAGTCCTGAACGCGCATAAATAGGAAGGCCTTAATTGCAAGCAAAACTCCAGGTTACTTTCGGCGATGGAGAAAATTGTAAACTACGCTTCAGTGTTGGTCAAAAAATATGCTACTTATCACCAACACAAAAAATGCAGGTAACAATTCAAATGAGAGTGTATGTTATGATCTTAAATGCAGAGTCAGGTCGTAATTGTGAATGAGAGTACGTGTAAAAGTTCTGAGCGAGATTACGCAAATGATTGCGAATGAGGCAGCAGGTCATGATGGTAAATGAGGCAGCAGGTCATGATAGTAAATGAGGCAGCAGGTCATGATAGTAAATGAGGCAGCAGGTCATGATAGTAAATGAGGCAGCAGGTCATGATAGTAAATGAGGCTGTTGGTCATGATAGTAACAAATGAGGCTGCAGGTCATGACCACAAATGAGGCTGCAGGTCATGACCACAAATGAGGCTGTAGGTCATGACCACAAATGAGGCTGCAGGTCATGACCACAAATGAGGCTGCAGGTCATGACCACAAATGAGGCTGTAGGTCATGACCGCAATGTAGTCCAGCCTGCTGTGCCCGCCCCTGTTATCAGGCTCCTCGACCTCGCAGGTCGCAGACGTGGGGCGCGAGAAGCAGGTCAGAACAATTGCTGTGTCACGCTAAGTGCCGCACGGCATCGATCTCAATATTTAGCCGAAGTACAAAGAAAAGAATCAGTATCAAAGAATAGATAGAGCATTGCAAATAGAAGTGAACAAAGAAAATCATTTTAATAGTTTCTATTGACGTGTCTATAGAAGCATAATGATTACTTTGATAATTGTTTAAATTTGAGGTTGGTTTATATCAGATATGCATGCAGATCATGCTCTTTAGTGCAGCACAAATGTAAAAAGTTATTATATCTGAGATGAATAATTGCGCTAGAGTATATAAGGTTAGTAAATTTCATACCGTCGTCGAACTAACATGTAACCAGCTTTAGTAGAATATATTTTCTAACAATTACGGATGAACTCAGATCAGTTTCGTTCCCAGTCTGTCAAAATCACGGAAGGTTCACTTGAGAAAACTGTGACTGTCAGAAAATTAAAATATCGGTTTGAAGATTTTCATATCGTTTCATTTATGCTGTCAATTACAATGACCTATAAGTTATGCTTCGCTTAAAATTTCGGATATTGCGAATACGTATTACCAAATGACATTAATGAAATATTAGATGATGCGACGTTGCCAATGCTTAAAATACCATTTCCTCAGGGGAAAACATTAGAACCTGGCATGAAGTACATCTAAACTGGCATTCATACTCACTCACGACCACACTGTGTGACAGTCATACACACTCACACTGTGTATGTCATTCATACACACACACGACCTGAATGTCGCAGATTACGGTTTTGGGAAAAAATGCATCAATGGGAGACTTTACTTTATCACTCACCCTTTGAAGGATGAGACCCTAATTTTCGACACAAGTTTTCGGGGGATCCAAAGTTTTTTTGTATGTAAGACACTGCACCACTTGCTGGGGTCTGCATGAGCAGTTGAATTTCTTCGACGGTAACTGCAATATTACCGACAATGCCGACATTATCCCTTCTGGCTGAGCTGTCTCGCGAGTACACTCCGCTTTCCAAGTCATACTCTTCGGGCGACATTGGATATATTTGATCTTCAGTATTTGTAGCAGATTTCGGTGATTTCATGCTAAAAGTTTGCCGGTACATTCGAAGTGATGTGTTCACTGGTGTTGTTTTTTATCTGTGCATTGTTATGGCACCGACATCGCATAATGTGAAGATGCCGCTTCAATTTGTACAAGATGACAACACATTGCGATCGATTTACTTCCTTAGAGTTTAGAAGCAGGTATCAAGTGTTCTAGACACGAGAATATCCGACGAGCGAACGCTCACTCACACCTCCTCTGAAGCCTGAAGTGCGACATCTGCCGCCTGGCCATAGAAAACAGCAGCAAGACGCGGTGTTGGCGTGACCGCCGAGGCGCGAGGGCAGGCCGTGCAGCCATGGGCCACGAGCACCTGAGGCGCAACGAGTCATCGAGTAAGCTGAGCTTTAACAACTTCGTTTAAATGAGATTATTTGCGGAAAGTATCAACAAAATCGAAAATGGATGGAAGTTAACGCATTACCAGGCTGCCTTTCTCCGTGAGAACAAGATAGAGTCCTCAAGCCTATTTTTAGGCTGAAATTTTACTGATGAAAAGATGGCACTCACATTCTGAAGTGGTTGGAAAAGAAACTACGCGGACGAAAAGTGTTGTCCCGAGTACTCAACTTGGACCTAAGATGGTTAAGAGCTCAATGCTGCGCGTATGCTTCCTCCCGGCTGCCCGTCGTGTCGACTGCATCTACAGCAGGCTTGCGCAGTAAGATAAAAATTTTTCGTAGATGAAAATTTTCTTGGCTGCTTTTGAAAATTCAACAAGTGGAACGCACGGTCCACGCTAGAATAAGAATAAGACCATAAAATACTTCGCTGATATCAAAGGTGTTGTAGATACGTGCCAAAAGCGATATAAGTGTTGCGAAATATACACTCATGACCAGAACGCGACAACAAGCGGTACGTTTACACTCACCCGAGGTTAATTTTGTTGCAATTGAAAACGGTAGGAGCTAGCCGAGCAGCAGAGCCGTCATTTATGATGGAATCGACTTTGAAATAATTTCCAGGAAATAACTTATGCATAGTTGTGTCTCGTATTTTAAAATTTGTGTCCCGGATATTACAAAACATTACGAGATCAATANAGAGTACCAAGATTGGAGCAGAGAGGCGCGGGTTCGATCCCGCAGTTCAGAGTACCAAGATTGGAGCAGAGAACTATTAAATTTCTATCAGACACAAAAAATAGATCGTGAGGATTAAAGAATAAAAAGTTTAACCTTAAACTCCTAATGGTCAAGTGGGCAGATTCAACGATATTCTGCTGCCAACACAACAATTAACCGTCTCTAATGAACAAGATACTAAATAATAGTAAAGCGAAAAAAGGCTCATCAGATTTTGTCAGACTTCAAACTTTGTACATACGTTAGGTATAAGTGAACTGTACTCCATATAAATGTTAGCTGTATTAATTCTCAGCCAATCGAGCTTCCGTTAGTTGGTTACGTGACCAGTTATGGCCATTCGCTATTGAAGCAGCCAGGTATCTCTCTACTCTGAAGCAGCCAGGTATCTCTCTCTACTCGAAGCTACCAAAACCGAAAATTAGGGAGGTCAGGGAGCGCATGCCAGAGGCCAGCTTTGCCAAACTTCACACTTAGTTCATATTCCTTTTCGTAGGTAAAAACATTAGAGGGCATAACAGCCGATGAAGTCGATTACTGAAAGCCATAGCGCTGAATGTCCAGTCACAATAATATTATTCAAGCTTGCCAGAGGTAAAAGCATGGCCATTGGCCATGCTGCATCTGGCCAAGCCTCTTACGGCCCAACCGCTTCAACCTAATCTACACAAGTTGCAACATTTCTCCACCCAAAACATAACCTAACCTCATGCAGTGACTGCAGGAAATCAGAAAGGCGGTCCAAGTGCGCTGGTAGAGCCAATTATTGGCTGCAAGAAGGTTGCAATCCGGGACAGCGTGAATAGGTTAGGCCATATGAGGTTATAGGCCTAAGTAGGTACAGCCGGATGAGGCACTGCTTGCTTAAGAGCACGCATGCTTAAGCATTGGCTGAAGACCTACGGCGCTATTGTTTTCGGCAGTGTAAAGCTGATCTGGATTACGGAATTCAAGTGTAGTCTATGGCTTCTAGCTCTGAGGCTGAGTAAAGTTAATGCATGGTGAGGCTGGCCGTTGGTTCCAGGGCTTATTTGCGAGTAAAATTTGTGGCATACGGCTGAGCCCTCGCGATCTGCACTAACCAAATAAAGTGGCTGCCGCAACTGCAATTTACGAGGCACACCTTTTGAGTCGGCCGGTTCGGAGAGTATGAGCAGTACTTTTCTAGCCTTTCTTATTTGCTCTCATCCACGAAATATACATTTAACGATATCATTTAACGTAGAAAAAATTTTGAAATTTTGGAAACGTTGAGGAGACGTTAATTGGGGAAAAATCGTATTTTATTCCGAGATGTCTCATCTCGGCGTACTTTTGATTTTCCAAAATTGCGTTGGAAATGGTACCGATTTGTATCTACAATCGTGCCAAAGCTCATTGTTGTTAGGGCTTTATAGAACAGGTTTTAATTCATCAAGTATCTTTATATTCAAGAAGTATTTTTAGGTTTGAAGAAATTTGTACATTACGTGCACGGGTTAGGAATGCCCGGCTTGTCATTAATTGTTGTGCGGAACCGTGAAGGAGGTGTCGTGTGGAATCAGGGTAGCTAAGAAGCTCTTGGAATGTAAATGTGTGTAAATAGGCGTGAAATCTTAGGCTGTAAACCATGGTGGAAATATATTCTGTAGTTGGTCTAAAATTAGGATATTCAATTATTTATATATTTATTTGTATTTATTTATGAGTCCATTAGGTTGCATTCGTTGATTTGTTGTTGATGTAATTTCAGAAAAGCCTCAAGACTTGAGAATTCAAAACTTAAGAATTACACTCTTTAATTAAGAAACCCGCGTATGACTTGAGCCTTGGGGAAGGGAGAAAAGGGGTCTGAAGGACGACACGAGCCACAAATGTGCTAGAATGTTTAGGTCTAGCTGGCGTAAGGATTGAGCCCTCAACATTGTTTCGTCTCGCCTAGAATGATAAAACAAATCTGACGTAGGAGTCCATTAGAAACCCTCATCCACGACGTTGCAATCACGTGGATATTTACGATGATCTTGAAAATTGCTATTCATGTAACGCCGAGGCTGTAGACACTAGTATATAATTTTAATTTACCTCTGAAAATGGAGCTGCAAAAACGTCCATAAAATTGCAATGGAACAGTGTTGAAATCAGCTCCTGAAATTGCGTGTACTAAATTGCGTTCGATAATCTTGCTGATTTTATGTATAGCTTCAACCTTTAATTCATGAGGTGTAGATTAATAACTTAAAGTTATTCACGTTTTTTTATTGGATATGTGCCCATACACGCACTTTTTACCAATTGACGCCCTTTTCCATGTTATACAGTGACCAGGAATTATACACTTAACCAATCAAGTGAATAATAAATGTTGAGTGACTTGGAATTAAACAAAGGAACGGCACCTATTCTTGATAATTGTATGTTTGATCGAACTGTCACTCAATATTCGTCACTAAAAATTAGACCAAAAACCTGGTTGCTGGTCATTACGCCAACGTTAAGTAATGCCCGAAAATCACCTCGTTACTTCTTCGTACGATGCTTTGCGGTCAGAGCATCAACGTTGAATCTCAACTCAAAACGACGTTGAGAATGTTTCTGCGTTGGCTAAACCTCTTCAAGACACCTTTCAAAGTGTTTTGAGAAAAACTCCAGGTTTTGATGTTTATTCTTCAACCAAAAACCAATGTTTTTCACCAATCAGCATTTCATTCCATGAGAAAACTAGCAAGTTGTCATTATACAACAATAAAAGAGCACTCTTAAAGCCATCAATAAATTTTGATTGAATATGACTCCATGTGTTGTTAAAATTTATAAAGTTATCATGAAAGATAGTTGAAGATTCAATCACTTCTAATTTTCTTAACAAGTAAATTTTATTGATGAAAAAGCTATTCTAGAACCACTATTATTAATCATTACTAAAAAGTACAGATTGCCATTTATTTGTAATGTTTGGTACAGTCAAGTTCTGAGCTAGAACATTGTTCGTACATTGAGCGTTAAATGACCTCACACACTGACTCAAATTATGTACAATTTTTGGCCTCCGATAAAACGACAGTTACCCAATTCACGTCATGTATGGGTTTGAATTTTACATTTTCATAAAAAACAAGAATGGTAGAAATTTTTCAGACTTGAGCACCTAAAATATACGCGTAATATTATTGTTGAGGCAAAAACAATTACATCAGCAATTTACGGATGGCAGTAATTTTTTTTTGTCATTCGTGAAGTTGTTGTTATATTATAATTTAAACTACTGGCCATTTGTGTTTACTGCGTCAGACAATAACACGCTGCAAACCTGGGATTCCTAATCTAATTTCCTTCCAAGATTGTGATGGTGTTCAATAATAAAGAAGAGACTGGCTTCACATATAAAAAGTATTGTTTAGGCAGCGCGAAGAAAATACTTACTTTCCGAGTAAAGGAAGACGAATGAAAATGACAACAACCTGATATTTAGGAATTGATTTCGGGAACAGTAGAGCAAATATTTCTAACATTAGTGAATATTACATACATCCGGTGCACGACTTACCAGTTGCCTCAGCTACTTCGCATCAGCCTTGAAGCAAATTAGTATAAATCAACCAAACGCGTGAAGATGAACGTCATTTTGCGCCTGCACTTAACAGCGTCAGCCCGTACAACGTAAGTAGTTTGTGAAAAGACCAGTCACCTCAGAAGGAAGAACCCGTTTACGTGACAAGTAACCCCCAAAATATTTTCAATTCACGATTTTCATGTGACCTTTGCAAAAACTTACAAGCACATAGGTCTTCCTATGTATATCATACACATGAATGCTCCACTATTCAACTGATTTAAAAAAAATCAATTTTATTTTCAGATTTCCAGAAGCGGAGTCATCCATGAACAAGTCAACCCAATCATAATGAATTTGATAAAATTATTCGCCCTTTTTCTGTTCATGGTGAGTGAGCTGTAACATGTTAAATTAATATATTGGCCGGTCTTTGACCAACCGATTAACTACTATAAAAAGCAATACAATCTGATAAAAAGTGTTTTGTCAACGTGACAGATTGCTACTAAACCTTATTCTTGGAACTAAGGCATAAAGCAATGTTAATATCATGTCTTATTTGTAAATAAAAATAAATTGGACTTGCAACGAATCACTTGCAAATTGGACTTGCAAAATTGCAACGAATCACACCATCATTACTGTTACATTACATAGTTCACGCCCAAATTTTAGGCATCCTTACGTAAGGACATGATTTACGGATTCTACAATTTATAAGAAAACCTTTCATCCTTCAGGCCCTATTGGCTGGACCAACTGAAGCCAAGAGACCGAGGTAATTTAATATAATTCGCTAAAGACTGAAAATAGAGGAACTTTCTCATCGAAAGACCCGATAAATGTTCACAATCATTCTTGATATTTTCCAAGCCGGATTAATTCCTTACTGAATTCAAGGAAATTGGAGGAAGAGCGGGAAGCATAGTAAAAATATGAGGTGTAACTGAAAAATTTTGTTGATAATTTGAAACATGAACTCATTTTCTTTCGTGGCATTTGTTCAATTTCTACATTCGTACAGGTGCCCAGCCTTGAAACGCGGGACAATCGGCATATGCGTAGAGGAGTGTTTTTCTTCCGCTGACTGCGGGAGGAATGGACGATGCTGCAGTAACGGCTGCGGTCACTCGTGCGTCAACGGAAATTGATTTGGAATTACGTATGCACATCCCAGTCTGAAGTTTAACCTGGAATTATACACTAAAGATGCACTGAATTATAGGCATTGCTAGCTTGAAGAAAATGAGATAACACTGCTTTCCAAGTATCCTTAATTACTGAAATATGATAAAACGGTTACGCTCTCCCTGAAACATGTGTCGCCTGGAACGCACTCTTCATCGTTTCAACAATGGGCGACCAAGCTGGGCCTGGCAGTCCGGACTATTATACCTATTCAATCTTGCTAGTTTAGCTACGGGCAATCTGCAATACTAGTGGGAAATTAATGGGTTAAAAGTTTTTTTTAGCTTAATATCATGTTTGCCATAATCGTTTAAGCTTACATAGTTAACTATACTGCATATAAATATTAACTAAACCGCACCTGTGTAGTTGCAACTAACATTAGAAATAATTTATAGTTATTAATAATTATTCAATTATCTGTTCTTTGCATTTACAGTACTTGCGCTTTCGATATAACCCACATAACCCATGAAAGTGAAATTCACGTCATCAAATTTATTGTATCGTCTTTTTCGTGCATTATTCACGAGTTCTGTTCAGAGATTCGCGAGAAGTTGCCGAAGCATTCGAGTATGCCAATTTATGATGATATAAGCTCAAACATACATTCAAACTAAAAAAACAAATATCGAATTGATGTAAATCCAATCCTTATATCCAATTAGAATTTTGCACCTTTTCTTTTAATTTCTTGGTTAATGAACAATTTTGTCAAATTTTCTCGCAGTGACTTTAGATTGCTGTCAAATTAGGCCAATCTCTCACTGGCTGACGATGTGCTCCCAGTCAATAGGTTAATGTAACGAAGAGGGCGAACTCTGGAAATATAATATGGTCGGTCGTACTGTTTTTGCTATAAGGTTTCTTGATGACTTTGTAGTTCTGCTCCGTAAATAAAAAGAAGATTTCTCACTATTCTTAGTACTACGTTCCATAGAACCAACAAGACCGCCGATGCCTCATACAACCGAACTGGTAGGCTACAAATGACAATTCTGCTTCATATCAAAAACATATAATCTAATTAAGATTTTATTTTAGAACTTTACTCCAATACGTCAACACTTCTATACGCTTCAGAATGCGCACGATGAGAAAAATATCCACGGTGACATACGTAATTGAACTCGGAATCAATACAGGTTGTCGTTTTTCAGACGAAAATTAATAGACCTGGTCGTAACAAAATTCGTAGAAGAGTGCAATTAGAAGAAGAGTGAAATTCGTAGATGAGTGCAAAATAACAAAATTCATAGAAGAGTGCATTTTATTTGATAGAACAGTAACATTGTTTAAAATATCGCACTAATTTACAATAAATCCTATCAATAAATCAAGAAAATTGCACGCTTCTGCCGACAAAACGAAACTTTGAATTAACAAATTGGATGTCAGTAGAGTTAAAAAAATGACGAACGGCGATATTAAAAAATGACATAAAAGGGACACCAGAGTCGGCGCTATTCTTCAGAAGCAAAATGCAATAGCTTCAAAGTGAACGGGATTCAACTTATAAGTTAGTTGAACCTTTGGCCAAATTCTCAGTATAGTCACAGCCTCGCATCCTCCTCAAAATCCTTCGCCCCCAAGCAGTAATTTTTAGAGGTAATAAATAGGTAATGTAAGAGTATAAGGTAAAATATGTAAGTTTAGGATCGGCTAGGTTAGACGATCTTTGTCATTTATTATGATCCAATCTATCCTGGCTAAACTTATCCTATCCTAACTTATCTTGACATAACCTAGCTAATTTTTTATTTATTTCGTTTCAAGCAAAAAAGTAATGTCGCACAAATTTTTGGTAAATCTTATCGCGGCCTATTGCTAATAATTACTACTTATTTTCAGAATTTTACAGAATTTCTCGTTTTTAATTGCAGGACCCGACTGGTGTTAATGATTGAATGTCTTCTCTTTTCCCATAAATCTACATACTTGCCGAATGCTGTTTGAAACCTTTATGATATTCAGGTTTACTATAATAATCCTTAATAATTCATATCACGGCTTATTGCTACTAATTTCCAAAGTTCTTAACTTCATGCAAATGCGTTTAGAATTGTGGGAATTATGCGCTGTTGAGTTGCGCTGGAGTCGCGCTGTGCGTTTGAGTTCGCTGGGAGAGCTCACAGGTGAGTGAGGTGAGCTCGGGTAAGTGTCGCCGAGGTACTGCTGAATATATGCATGATAAGACAGTTCCTGTTATCGAAATGTGAAGTTAACATAGCTCTCTGTCTCGAATGTACGAATGGAATAAACAAGTTTGACTTAATTCAGAGTGAACAATGCAACGACGTTAATTGTTATTTGAATTGAAACGCAGGCTCAGTTGTAGGGAGTAATCTATAAATATATTGCAGAGAAGTCAAGTTTGAAGAATATAAGTACACGGCATGATTCTCCAACTAATATTTGTAACCTTCCATTGTGAGTTCCCGGAAAACAATAATTAGTTTCCTGTTTTCGGTCATACAGGGGATGATTATGGGAATGAAAGAGTTTATTCCTTTACGCGTATAAGAATTTAAATCTATTTTATATTTAGTTCCCACCTGATATAACAACTTTGTCTGTATGACAATAGCGGTGCATCGACAAAAAATCGGCAAGCTGCAGCATCTGCGCAGTTCTTTCCGGTCCTGTCAAGGACTATCTTCTCCTGCAGCGAGTTGGCAGTATGGCGTGGAACTACGTGTGGGGAAGTGTGCTGCAGATCACGCACGACGCTGATATTCAGTCAAATGAAAATTGGTATTGATTGAGAGAGACGCCTGCGAAACCAGCAGAAATGTTTGCTGATTTAGAAAGAATTATGAGTTTCTTGTTAAGTGATGTTAGAAAAACTGCGCGGTATACTCTTTGCATGCAGTTGTATATCTGTAACTGTCAGAAAATAGAGTTCTCTTTGAAAAAACAGCAGGTTTTGGCCTATTCATTGCTATATCTACATCAGATAATGAGTATCATACCGATTTTCGATATGCAAATCAATGTAAAGTTATGTGACAATTGCCAAATCGGCCAACAATGTTGACCGATTTCATTGGAACATGAACCGCCAGCTTGGAGGCTTTCATTTACGCTACATTTTACAGCTGCACTGTTTTCAGCTGCTGAGATTTCCGACTAAAACACACAGTTTACTTTAATGTGGTTGGTTCTTACTTGCATCTGTAAAATTGTTCGGAAAAGATTGCCTGACGACAAATAATAAAAGAATACAAAGATCGTTGATCACCCCCTCCATTTAATCTCTTACATTTCACACATTCACAGCCGTTATGTCACTAATATGAAGTTTGTTCAGATTTAACCGAGACGTTCTGTTGCATCCATTAATCTAGTACTTACCCTTTTGTAACTGTCTGGACTTCTCGGTGCCATGCCACTAGGTATTAGCAGCATAGACGACGGTAAATGTGTCCCTGATCAAAGGGTTAAACCAAAGAGTCGTTGTGTTATGCGACGTTTGTTCGAATGTGACTGTGATTAAGCACATTTGATTTGCAATTAAATCGCATGGTCATTATCTCACTTGCTGCATTTAGTATAATTTTTTGTTTTATTTTAAATTTCCTGTCACCTAAAACTCGTTAAATTCTTTCTCAAGGAATAAATATTCTTGAAAGTCGACCGGCGTAGCAATGGAGCACCGACCGCTGATCTTAGCATTTCTCGTGGTAAGCACATCAGTTGTTACAGTAATGAAAGAAAACGAATGCTTGAGCTGCGTTCAGTCGTACGATCTATTCACAAAATTTACTCTTCATTTACCTTCGTCAGTATTTTATATTATAAATTTCCCGTGATTTTATTCAAATAATAGAATCAAACATATTATTACTACGAATGCAATAGTAAATAATGTCTTTCTACCCCACAGGCCCTGGTCATAAGTTGTGCATCTGGCGTCGAACGGCAGTCAGAAAGGCGGTGAGTGTTCCTATGTCAGGACGAATCCTGAGCTCGAATATTTTGTAAATAGGCGAAGTTGATAACCCGACCACCGGCCGTCTCTGCCTCGGTCATGTATTCACATATCATTACACGCTCGTAATAATTCTAAAAGGTTTCAATTCGGCGATGTCTTTACATTTATATTCAAAATTGGATGCAGCAATGCTGTATTAGTACTATATTAATGCCTCATTTCGATGAGCTATTTAGCTTTGTTGCATGACGAGAAATGGCCATGATTGAAGCAAGTTACGTCAGTGGATGATCGAGCGGGAGAACATCATATTATATTAGATTTCTTTCAATATGGAACTCTATGCTGAAATTATGTCGCATTTGTATTCTAGTTTCCACATTCAGCTCATTTTCCTTCCTAAAAATACTTATTTTGAGCAAATTCGTATGGAATTCATCGTAAAAAAAGTTCAGGTCGTAATTCGCAAACGTGCATGACACTCATTTAAACTCCTAGCTACTTTATCCGCCACAGGAAAATACTGCATTTGACAATTGAAAAATGTTGGCATTACCTGCACGTATATTTCACCGCCAAGCGCCAAGTGGTATTTAATTTTCAGAAGGCAGTGCCCAGACCCCAACTCATACGGCCGTAACTGCTTCATCTACCGGGACCAGTGCAAGAACTCGAGACAGTGTCAGCAGAGCGGCCAGCGGTGCTGCCTCGTGGCGGGCTGTGGTCACGAGTGCGTCGACCTTCTCGCCAACAACTCCGTGTACGTACGTCAAGAACTGAATAAATCCCTGAGCTTTTGAAACGTGCCATAATCGTCTGCTGAGATTCAATTTTGTTTAAAGTAAGTACCATTAAATATCCAATTTGGACAAATCAAATTAGCCTACCATGAAAAATTGAGTCGTTTCTCGTGAACTTAGATAATAACTCAACTATGGACTTCTTATATTACTCTCCAATTCATTAACTCTGAAAACATCATATTATTTTAAATATTCAATGCCACTAGTACACCTTGCAAAGGAGAATTACATATATTCTTAACTTCATAAATCAAAAAATTATAAAAATCGATTAGTGATACCGAAAAAAATTTCATCGAGTCTTGTATCTTCCTTTCTTTGTTGAATATGTAGACAGCACTTCTAAAATTTATAATAGATCTGTCGGTTGAAATGTGTCAGAAAAACAATTAATTTTCTTCATTATTTTTATATTAGATGTCCAGCGCCTGATTCGTTCGGCCGAGTGTGCATCCAATACCACGACCAGTGTCAGAGCTCCGCGCAGTGCAGCGCCGGCAAGAAGTGCTGCCTCGTTGCTGGGTGTGGCAAGGAGTGCATGTGAAGCCGGCACCACTGCAAAATAACTCTCGTGTTTTACTGTAACGCTTACAATTTTTTATCTTAATTGCCGAAATATACGATGCTAATTATAACTTCTAGTGAAACCACTTTGAATTATATTCCTAATTATTCCTAAGTCCGTATATGTCCACAGCTCAGCGTAAGCATGCCCGAGTTAAGCATGGTCATAATGCATCTGGCCAAAACTATTCCCGCCCAACCCCTGACCTAACCTAGACAGGTTGCAACATTTCACCACGCAAAACGAATCTGAACGGACATAACCCAGCCTAATTGGCTGCTGAGAGAGGAGGAGCAAGTGTGAAGGTAGATCCAGTTATTGGCTGCAAGAAGGTTGTGAGTCAGCAGGGCAGCATGAATATAGGTTGGGTATAAAGATGTTAGGCCGTAGTGGGTGAGGCCGGATGCAGAACTGCCTGCTTATGAGCTAGCATGATGAAGTTTTGGCCGAAGTCCTTCGGCGCTATATATTATCTTTAAGCAGTGAATCTCTGGTGCAGATTACGATGTTCTAGCGTAGACTGCGGCTTTTACCCCTGAGGATAAGTAAAGTTATTGCAGGCTGAGGCTGAGTGTTGGCTCCATGACTTTAAAGCAAAATTTGTGGTTCACGGCTGCGCCCCCGAAGCAAAATTGTTCCAACCTGCAGCATTATAGGCCCTGGACTGTGGCTTGAGGCCTGAGACAGTATTATAAAACGCCTGTTTCTGTTTATTGGAATTCAATATTCTCTCGAGTTAGCAAAGTTTCATTGGCCATGCCCTTGTGTGAATTAAATAGGCTGAAAACGTGAAGACCATCGCATAAGATGGTTATAAGTATATTATCAACTATATAGGCTGAATAACGGATTTAGTGGTCACAATAGGATTTGCATCTTTTCTTGTAAATCTCAGTCGGTAGTGTATCTTGAAGGGTCGTTCAAATATCACCCATGACCAAGTTTTACTTCAGTTAACACGATAACTCTTTCTGGGCCATTTTAGTTTTTCGGTAGTGTCCTTTTGTTCATGGATGCGACGTTAAAGTAATAAATAATGAGAAAAATTATAATAGTAACTATAGTAGCTAACAAACTGAATGTCATCAGATGAACTTGAATCGAAAGGACTAGCTAATAATTAAGGTCTTATTGCAAATGAATTTAATTTAATTCAGGATTGCCTTATCCTTTTCACGGGCAAGTTACCATATATAGTCAGTTGAAATCACCTCACAAAGTGACCCACTACTGCGTCTGGTTTGTGTTTGAGGCTTCCTTATCATACCTCAGTCAATCACTAATTATCTGACCATCGTTCTATGCATGGCATCACCACCTGCCATGCCCAAAAATTAAAACATGAGCATTTAAATGTAGGTTTTGACTCGGACGATGAAATTGTAGCTCTTTTCGCATTTTTTCAAAAAGTGGAAGTATCAATATATATGTAATTATTTAAGGTAACTTGACTAAATTGAATTGAATTTAATTATTCATATTAAATTGCTGTGTTATTAATTTTTCATTTGCATAAACTAAATTTTAATTATAGAGAAATTATTTCGTGTAGTGACCGCATTTTTATAAATTTTTCAAGTGCAATTTAAACCTGCAATTAATAATCAACATTTTTAAAAATGCAGACGAATAAATATTCGTATAATACTTAATACTTCTTACTTTCTTGAACTGTTTTCTGAAATTTTAATTTCTGGATATCTCAATGCTTGTTCGCTAAAGTGTTATTGACTTGTATAAATTTCGTCCCGCTTTTTCGTTCGCCTTTACTGTGCACTAAATTGCATGAATGACACATAATAGAGGTTTTTCTGAAATAATACGGATTGACATCAAATTTGAAGAGAGCTTTAAATCTAATTTTAAACATAAGCACACGATATCAAAACTATTATGGCAGAGTACATTTCTGACGTGTCTGATCCTATGTACTCTAAAGTGAAGATTTCGATATATAATTTGATTGATATCAACATTGTGCCAAGCGTACATTGATGACAAATATAAAGCGAATTGAATTTCAACCATACTTTTTTGGTTGAATACTGCTTATGAAGATGTTTCCTAAATTCTTCGGAATTTAAAAGATTATTGTACGCCTATTCCGATCCATAACTATTTAATTCTCACATTCTAGATGTTAAATTAAGGCATACGGATGGTGAATAAATTTCGATTGCAGTTCCCTATGAAAATTTATGACATAGAACTATTTTCGAATAATCCTATTTGTACACCAATAAGGTAAAATACATTTTTTGCGTCGACGATCTCCATCTAAATTCAGTCTATATAGGGAACGGCGTAACTCGTACAACGGTTGAAACGCGTCTGTATATAAGGAGTTGTGTCGAAATGCATATATTATAGATTCCATTTTTATTCCCATGATGAACTTGAATGGATTTTGGAATGAACGAAATTCCAGTTTTCTTAAGTAATTAATTAGAATAACATCATGTTCTCTGAATTTATGTTATTTATGACCGTATAAGGTTTGCTCTATTTCTTCTACAATTAAATGAATTCGAAATTCAATGTTGCTGCGGTGAGCTTCGAACATGGCAAAATTAAATTTAGTTCATTTTACAAGACCTAGTTGAAGTTTGGTGACGCTTAGTAAGCGTTCGCATATGTATAAAACCAAAATATTAACATTTAATGATTGAGGGGGCAAGAAAATAATTTCGGCTGAGCGATCGAAATAATCTGATCATACTTTGATTCATTCAAGTTCTGAACTACAGGTTGAAATATATTTGAATTCATACTAAAAGTGATAACCTACATGCTAACAACCTTAATTTTGGTCATATTTTAGTGTTAAATAGCTGTTGGAAAATATATTGAAATTCAATGTTCCATGCTCGACGTTGCTTCATGTTGAAACAAGGTTGTTTTACGTCTGTTCCAGGATTAATTTATCACATATCGACGTAGATTTTAGGTTTAATTTTTTCATTTCGTTACTTTCCAATATCCATTGTTATTCTCAAATAGTCAAAGGCAAACACTGTACCAAATAGAAGTCTCTACTCATAGTCCATGCATATTTATGCTTTACGGGAAAGGCAAAAAGCCGCCTCAGCTACAGGGGAGCATGCCGGAGGCCGAAATAGACTATTAAAAACTATGCTAACAAAAGGTTTGCTAAACATATTTACAATCTGAGAGCCATTTTTTGATTCTGGGTTTCACACTTGGTGCCTTTTTTTATTAATATGGAATCGCTGTAAATTTTTGAACGGAAACCATGTCTTTAAAACGTTTACAGTATTTATCCGCTTGAAATTGTCCGGTATCAATCTGGCGTCTCATTATATTCATTATCTTATCATTATGATCATTTGTAATATTATTATTATCATGTGATATAATTTGATCATCTGTAATTGAGACGTAATATTCACTTGACGTGATAGAGATTGTTGGAAAATTCCAGACCTGAGTCAGCATGGACAACAGCACGTGATAGGTCACGCGATCAATCAAGACCGCAGTATTGGGCGGAAGCCGTGATTCTATAAAAGGGCTGGGTTCCCTCGCAAGCCCCCCTCCCCCGCCCCCGCCCGCTGTAGCAAACATTTATGCGCGCCGCGATGTAACTCGCGTTTTAAGTTACTCCAACTTAACGGTCGATGTCGTAGCCTTTTACCTGGATCGAATGGGTGCGCAGCCGTAGGCCACAAATTTAATCCTTAAATCAGCCTTGGAGCCAACATCAATCTTCTATATGCTATAGATATTGTCACCCTGGCACCTATGCAGCTATACTCAATTGACCCCTCTCACCACACGAGCTTGAAACCAACAATGACTCAGCTCACAAGTTATTATTCCACATAGATAGCGGTATTGCGTCTACTTCAAAGAGTTTTTACACATGCTATCACTTCTTACACATACCGATATAGTCGTAAGGTCCGTCAACCGCGATGGATTGCCGTAAATATGAACTGTTCTACACGGCCTGCCTCATCACCATACTCACTCTGCAAGATTTGAGCCCAGCGTCACTTTCCCCAGCACCTTCTTCCTCCACACTTATTATCCCGTCTCTCCACCTTACCGCTATGGCTGGCTGGAAAGCTTTCCTCGCACACCTTTGATGCTTATTCCTAATTATATCATCTGTGTTTTAGTTAGGTCGAATTTTTTATAATAGTTTATCGAGAGATTTGTTTATCAGTTTCTTTATTTTCTTTATATTGTGATAGATGAATATTGTCACATGACGATGCTTACTTTCGCATGACGCTTCTGTCGAAGCTATCAGATGTAAAATATTAATATATCTATTGCGGCTAGTTTTTCGTTTGCGTATAGTACAAGTGTGTTGAGAATATTTATATGATTTCCAACCAACGCATTAAGTAAATAAATATGCAAGTCAACACTAGTTGTTGAAATAGTGTAGGTTGGTTTGCTCTATACTCATCACCATAAGATCCTATTTAGTAGACGATTTGGAATAGATATCGAATGACATTAGATTAGTTTCATTTGAACAATTCATTTCTGCAGCATCTAAGACGGCGATGAACCTAAGTAACATTTCAATATTCGTCATCAACAATAGGAGACTAAATAATTTTTAACTTAAAGATAAATGGCCAGGCTTTAAAAATGACTTTAAAATACCTAAAAAAATTCCAGACCACTCAGTCCGGGACTTTATTCCAGTCCACTTAGAAATTTATCCCCAACAAGCCGCATAGCCCAACGTTGTTCTGCTTAATTAAACAACGAGCTCTTCCAATATTGCATTCAACATTCGACGCATGACAATAGCGTCATCAACAATACGTGTCTAGTATGCAATTGCACATATCCAGCGTCTATGTCTATTAAAAAATTAAAGGTTCCAAAACAATAGTTGGTGTTCATTCATCAGTACGCTATCTTACTTTTTAACAGACTTCTAAATTTGAACTTATAAAGTGTTCAAATATTTTCACGTCTTTAAATATTATTCATGTTGTCCCTGTCTTCGTTCTAAATATTTTTAGGTATATACGTCGCCATTAATTATTCATTGTCCCACAAACATATTCTTCAATATTTCCGCCTTCTAACACGATTGTTCTTTCTCTTACAGTTCGAGATTCTCATACACTTATGCATTCTTCCTCTCTGCTAGCATTTCTTTTTTCATTTACGTTCCTGGACAAACATGCATGCACACCACATGTATTACCAAAGAAGATTTATTGATTTAGTTACATTTTCTTGAATGCCTTGAGTATCTTCTCAGATATAATGATTTTAAGATAACTAGCTAGTTCTTCAAAAAGCAATTTAAAAATGCATAAATATTTCTATGAAGTAAAATTCTCATTTACTTGAAATGGCATCAACTTGGTGATCTTACTGACTATCACTCACACATAATAGATGTTTATCAATCCCTTTCATTTTTCGTCCAAACTCAGCACGTTATTTCTATGAGATGCGATACAGCTCAGGCATTCTTAACTTTAAATTATGTATGCTCTGTCGATGGAAGAGTGTGTTATAAGAGATTGTCAATTGTCCTTCACTGCATAGTGTATGTAGTGTAAATATGCCGGCAATATCTCAAATTCTATTCGTTGAAAACAAAACTATGACTAGCTTTTTGAATTACAAATTACACTTCATATTGCATGATTTTTTGATTTGCCGCCTCAAGGCAACAGGTTTAGTTTCTAGTTATGCGTATTTATGACCCCTTATCGAGTTATTGACTCTTGCCTTGCCAAAAGTTGATTTCAGCCAACACCAATGAGCCAAAAGTTGATGAATCTTTATGGTGTTGGCTGAAATTACGATATAATACCTGGATTATGGACGAAACTGGAACAAAATTTTTTTTCTGATCAACTAAATATATTTTTTCTAGTCATGGGTAATTTTTTTCATGTCAAGGACAAATTTTTTTATCGCAAGGATATATTTTTCAAGTCAAGGATATATATTTTTATGTCAATGAAATATTTTTCTGCGCGTCTGTGATAGATTTTTTAAGCCAAGAGTATATTTTTTCAAGTTAAGGATTTAATTTTTTGAGTTGTTAATAAATGAATGAATGTCATATTTTTTATTATATTTTTCTTATTTTTAACCGTAAAGTGTTGTTTTATCATTTTTAGACGAAAAATATGCAATTGTGGTAAAGGGACCAAGGGTAGGCACCTTGCCCCAAGCCCATGGAACCATTGCCCCAGGGGTGGGGCAATGGGCCCATTTTGACGCTTTTTTACAAAATAGTGTTTCATTAAAAATTGAATAACTCTATAGGCGTCTAATTCACATCATAAATTCCTCATTAGTTGTACCTTTAAACAAAACAAAGAACCACCTCGTATCAATTAAAACTTCATCAAAAATTTAGTTTAAAAAAGGGGGGCGCACTGCCCCATGTTGCCCTACTGATCTGTCTTTATTGGCGGATCAGGTCTATGTAAATTGGTTCAGTCTTTCAATGATCGAGGAACAAAAGCTCTAAATGCGAATTGATCATCATCAGCACTGAACTCAATTGCAATCCTGCTATTCTTGTAAAATTAAAAGATTAGTAAGCAAGTCAGAGCTTTAGATCTATTTGAAATTTTATTTTTAAGTGATATTGTCTAATGACCTGATTATGAATTTGATTCAAAGTATCGCCTTCTAATTCGTTTAAATTTGATGCCAAATGTGTTCTATAATTTTGTATGGATATTGAGCTCACTGAAATTGGCCGCAAGATCTGCTGCATGACTGGAAGTTTCATCATCGCTAAGACACAATTTATAGCCGACTGAATTTTTCGCCATTTCTAGGTTCGTAAATGCGGGAGTTGAGTTTCGTTTATGCTTGACTCCTATTTTGTGACGTCGTGAAGTTCTAGCATTCACGGATGAATCGTCGGCACAATCATCGTGACCAGCTTTTTGGATTTAATGGGTTTATAAAATAAATTCACAACTGCCGCAATCTCAATCGACGGTGGCAAATATTTCTGCATCTACCTTTTATCCAGCCTTTCATCCGACACTTTCGCATGCAGGTTTGATGGCGATGTTGTATGAATGCAAATGACAATGTTGCATGTATGCAAATAGCGATGTTGCATGAATGCAAATAGCGATGTTGCATGAATGCAAATGGCGATGTTGCATGAATGCAAATGGCGATGTTGCATGAATGCAAATGGCGATGTTGCATGAATGCAAATCTGTCTCTTATACACATCTAGATGTGTATAAGAGACAGGCTTACTGCTCATTGGCACGCTGGTACATTTCAGTGCCGGAAATTTTTGCCTATATTGGCTTTCAACACATAATCATTTAGGTTACACTGTCCTGTAGCAGGTTTGCGCATGGGAAGGAGTATAAAAGTGTTGCTGGTGTTGGGCAATGCTGGCCTCTGTTTAGCATGCATCCCGAAATTCCAATGGTTATTCAAGACAGCCGCACATCCAGCGGCTGCGTTGCATATTCGTGCGCTGAGGTGAACATCTTGAGGTGCATGGATTGGATAACATCACGACACGCATCTTGAATCTTCTCTACCTCAGAAAAGTTGTTCCTCAGTCTCCATTGAAAAGATAATTTTTTTGACATTTTCTTAGTGGATAATAACTCGTGAATGTCAGCCTCCTCCTTCAATGCGTGAGTGTGTTTCCTCATGAACGTTGCCACGCGGGGGGTGAAAGGCTCATCTAGAAACTTAAATATTTTCTTCATTATTTCCAAGAAGGATGCGGGTTGCAGCCTCAGCTAAAGATTGCCTCACAAATTAAACATGAAGAGGCTCCTCGTATTCTTCACCTAGATATTAACGAGCAATATCTCGTAAGTTTTCACGAATCATTGCTTTTGAAATTTTTATTTCATGTGAAGCTATTTCATTTAAAGAATGCCACTGCCCCTGCCATATTAGGATAAAGCGGCAGTCTTCTCTAATATATGGTAAATAATTAATCATGCTGATTCTTTTTATTTTCATTAATCGACCCCTTACAGTCCCCAAATATTTATTGAACCCTTGAGTTCTGTCCTCGAACCCCACGGTGCGACATATTACAATATTACATATGACATATTGACAATACATATGAAACATTACAATATTATGAAACTCGACTTCCACAACAGTTAATTTTTTTTATGGTGCAAATTTGCATAACTCTAATCTACTATTTTTCGATCAATTTCTTGATACTGTTTCAAATATTTTAATCTAATCATTCAAATTATATATATACACAATGTAACCAATCTTCAATAGTTTACACTATTTTTTGGCAAACAATAATTGAATAATCCCTTTGAGTAGGTGAGTTAGCAGCAGCCAAATGACGTTAACAAAAGGTGTCCAGTCTCCAATAGAGAAAATGCGACAGTTCCAGCAGATAAATTATATATTATCTAGTAAATGGTGATTAATAATTCACTGGCCTAATAAATTGTACGTGCTCTTCTTTCCAATCAAATAAAGCTTGAAACCCTAGATGGAACGGAAAGTGGGAATATTCAATAGCAAATAATATGAATTGTAGAATAATGTGAAACTTGCGAATAAAATAAATATACTTTAACATTTAATATGTTCAGGTTAACTTACAGGTAGAGTCAATGGCATCCCCACTGAACGCGAAATTACCTTCAATGCGTGAGTGTGTTTCCTCATGAACGTTGCCACGCGGGGGGTGAAAGGCTCATCTAGAAACTTAAATATTTTCTTCATTATTTCCAAGGGTGCCATGGCCAAATCCTCATACCGCATCCTCCTGTAACTGTCAGCAACTTTTAAAACCACTCGCAATTTTATTGGGATCAAAGAAGTTTGTTTAAAAGTAAAGCTGAAGATAAAAATAAATGATATTCATTCAAATTGTGAACACAAAGCAAGCAAACGTATGTGTGTGATTTTGCTATGTTAGAATGTGTTTGAAATAATTGATTACTAGTTAATGGATAACCTATTCAGAAGAGGAATAACGTTTTTTAATATTGAATTCAAAGTCATTTCAAATCCTACAAAATTTTAAATATGTATTTAACTTCCCGTTCGAAAAAATCTATTCAAAAATTCTACTGATAAATATACTTCGAATATTTGAACTAATCTGCAACAATAACAAGACCGTGAGTATACAATTTCGAATGAAATTCAAAACAGTCCCGACTCAACCTCGAGGTGTTTGCAAATAATCCGCTTCGTGAACCGGAATTGCAATATTATAACGGAAGATGTTCAGCGCTCAGCGCTGTTAAACATCCGTCCTCTTTCCTCATTGGATGAGATAATGACTATATTTAAGTGCGTTGGACTGTGGTTGATGATCGCAGCACGCTACATTCTCGTACTAAATTATTTCTCAATTTATGATTTAGAAGAAACTTCCTTCCTACGTACACTGCAATTCTCAAGGGAAACAGGGAAAGCAAGCTGGCGGTGGTGCAAGTGAGGCAACTACCAATAAGAGAAGCTATAATAATCCAGTGTCGCTAGCATAGCAGCGTGACTTCAAATCTTGAGCGTCACTCATTGGGGAGCGGATAGATCGCGGGATCGGGTACGCAGCCGTGCACCACCAAATTTATGCACCAATCAGCCTTGAAAGGAACGCCTAGCATATTTCCGGACGACCACCAATTAATCAGCCAAGGATTAAGCCATCCGTCGGTAACCAGCCCGTGACATCATCTCGCTTTAAATATAAGGAGCTTTACGCCACCGTATTCTGAAGCTAATAGTCCAGAGAGTAACGGTTGTCCACCACTGAACGTTGCATCGAATCATCACTTCATACCCTGACTTTAGCTGGAACTGTAACTTGCGGACAACGGACTGCGACCAACCAGCCCAGGTCGCCAGTGGAACTGCAGGGAGCGCAGCCGTGCACCACCAATTTCGTGCACCAATAAGCCCTGAATCGAACGCCTTGGATCTCTCCGGACATCCACCAATCAGCCGTAAACCACTCGGCTTTGTCCTCCTCCGGCCTTGCATAGAACCTGCCGTGCACCACCAGGCCGCAGATCGAACATGACTTCCCGGCATCGTTAAATTACGTAATTTTACGTTCACCGCATCTGAGGTTAGGTTTCAGAAAGCAAAGTTCTGTTCCAAAATCTATCGTCCTTCGACTAGCGACTTCCACAGCTTCGCTAAATTACGTAACTTTTAGCTCACAGCATCTGAGGTTAGGTTTCAGATAGCTTAGTTCAGTTCCAAAATTTATCTTCGTATGACGCGTGGCCGTTCGACCGTAGGCTAATTCGAAACACGGGACAGATATATGGACGGCTCCGGCGCGCTCCGTCCGGGTAGTGTAAAATTTTTTCGAGTATTGGCGGGCGCTGCTGGGCCATTCTACGTCAGGCTATTTTCCTGTGGGCCGATTGATCTAATTCAATGGATGTGATCTGTCCCGTGGCGTGCGGCTGATAATGTTACAGTCAAAAAGTGTTATACTGTATACTACGTTCTCGAGGGGAGGGATCATGATAGTCCATTCGATGCACGACAGTGTTGGTCTCCGACAAGCGTCCCTTCACGAGTATCGAAGGCGATTTGACCTGTCGGCCATATAGCGACCCAATGACATAGAGACCGGTATTTTATAGTGAGGACCTGCCGACAGACCTTCTAAGATAACAACGGAGAGTGAGTGATTGAATGACCAACTTAGAACTATGACACAGATACCCACTTGGGAAGATGACTTATTACCCATGCAGCCTAGAAAGTTGGTAAGTTAATTGAAGACCAACCTGTTCGGGTGAGTTCTCTCTATCACATCCCCAGTCTTCATGTCGCTCCTCAGGTTGGAACACAAAATGTTTTCATCGTTTAGGCTTATGTTCTTGTCCCAGGGCATTCTGCGGGCAGACGCAATTATTGCTCTTGGGTCTCGTATCAGGTGGATGATTTTGATGTTAAGATGTGGGTACTCCGCAAGCAGGCGCTCGGCGAGAACGAGTCTTGGCGTCACCACCTTGAGCAACAGCACTCGAGAACGTCTGCAATTTTCCGTCAGAAACTCCGGCGTGTTGCACGAAGGTTGCGGTAGGTCATTGATAGTGAAGCAGAAATCGTGGTCCAGATCGTCAATGAACGTCATCGAAAAATCGAATTTGCAATGAACGACCATTTCAAGCGATTGGTATTCTGTTATGTTCGTCACTGGTTTTTGGTAAAATTTGTATCTGATCCTGGAGCTGACAGGTTCAAATAGGACGAAGGAGT